CAACCTTACCTGGTTGTATGCTCCCCGTCGCCCGACCAGTACGGGAAGGAGGAATAACCCGCACCGGGCTATGTAGGCGAACCGGGGAAACCATGCGTAAGGCTGGTGCCATGTATGCCGGCCCGAGGAGACGCACTGGTGGCCTGCTGCGTGGGACCGGCTTCATGACATCCGGCTCAACGCTCAATCTAGCCCGGCCAATACGAGGAGCTGGAATGTACCGCACCGGGCTATGCCTGCGTACAGGAGACACCATGCGCTCTACTGCGTAACATGGTGTCTGCCCGTACTCTCGCTCTCCACGGTAAGTACAGGGAGTAGGCGCAGGTCTCCTACCTGACTTCGCCACACTCCCTTTTAGCCCCCCCCCAAGAAATTCTTGGGTAGTACCCACGGGCTTCCAGCCTCGACTCCGCGCTGCCTCCTCGTACCACCTCCTCTCGGCTGCAGCTGCCTCCAGCTCTTCACGAGGGCGGCGATATTCTCCCGGTTGTGCCCAAGGACCCTTTCCATCCAAAATCTCCTCCCATGTCCAAGAATCCTTGATAGGCGTCCATAAATCCTGTGTAGGTAGGTCCTGTTGCCGCTTGACACGCTGCTTGGTCCTTTTATGGTGGGTTTTTCTGTCACGATCGTCTTGAGAATGAGCGGACCAAAGCGCAGCGTGTTGAACGAACATGACTTTATTGAAGAAAGCGCACACACGAAAACAAAACGAAACAAAACAAAACACGATCGTGAAGTCCTCAGTGACACAAACACGGAACACAGGAACAAAGGAACAAAAACCCACAAACACAAGGTGAAAACCCACACTTTAAATATGGCTCCCAATCAGAGATAACGAGCCGACAGCTGACACTCGTTACCTCCGATTGGGAGTCACAAGACCAATTACCCCAAAAACACAAACAAATGAAACGCACCCATACCCAACACCACCAAATGAAATACACCCTGACTCTAACTACACAGTCCCAGAGCCAGAGTGTGACATATCTGCACTCAGCGCTTGAACTAAATAGAAGTTGCAGTATATCGCAGACATATTTTCCACAAAAGTACCTTAATGCTGTATGTAAATTGCTCCTGACTGCTTTGTATTTCTTGCAATAACCAAAAAGAGGAGAAAAATGGAAGACACATTCTCCAACAGTCTAACCTCTGAATAATTGGGTTTATACAGTGGGGGAAAAGTATTTAGTCAGCCACCAATTGTGCAGGTTCTCCCACTTAAAAAGATGAGAGGCCTGTAATTTTCATCATAGTTACACAAAATGAGAAATAAATCCAGAAAATCACATTGTAGGATTTTTAATGAATTTATTTGCAAATTATGGTGGAAAATAAGTATTTGGTCAATAACAAAAGTTTCTCAATACTTTGTTATATACCCTTTGTTGGCAATGACACAGGTCAAACGTTTTCTGTAAGTCTTCACAAGGTTTTCACACACTGTTGCTGGTATTTTGGCCCATTCCTCCATGCAGATCTCCTCTAGAGCAGTGACGTTTTGGGGCTGTCGCTGGGCAACACGGACTTTCAACTCCCTCCAAAGATTTTCTATGGGGTTGAGATCTGGAGACTGGCTAGGCCACTCCAGGACCTTGAAATGCTTCTTACGAAGCCACTCCTTCGTTGCCCGGGCGGTGTGTTTGGGATCATTGTCATGCTGAAAGACCCAGCCACGTTTCATCTTCAATGCCCTTGCTGATGGAAGGAGGTTTTCACTCAAAATCTCACGATACATGGCCCCATTCATTCTTTCCTTTACACGGATCAGTCGTCCTGGTCCCTTTGCAGAAAAACAGCCCCAAAGCATGATGTTTCCACCCCCATGCTTCACAGTAGGTATGGTGTTCTTTGGATGCAACTCAGCATTCTTTGTCCTCCAAACACGACGAGTTGAGTTTTTACCAAAAAGTTATATTTTGGTTTCATCTGACCATCCTCCCAATCCTCTTCTGGATCATCCAAATGCACTCTAGCAAACTTCAGACGGGCCTGGACATGTACTGGCTTAAGCAGGGGGACACGTCTGGCACTGCAGGATTTGAGTCCCTGGCGGCGTAGTGCGTTACTGATGGTAGGCTTTGTTACTTTGGTTCCAGCTCTCTGCAGGTCATTCACTAGGTCCCCCCATGTGGTTCTGGGATTTTTGCTCACCGTTCTTGTGATCATTTTGACCCCACGGGGTGAGATCTTGCGTGGAGCCCCAGATCGAGGGAGATTATCAGTGGTCTTGTATGTCTTCCATTTCCTAATAATTGCTCCCACAGTTGATTTCTTCAAACCAAGCTGCTTACCTATTGCAGATTCAGTCTTCCCAGCCTGGTGCAGGTCTACAATTTTGTTTCTGGTGTCCTTTGACAGCTCTTTGGTCTTGGCCATAGTGGAGTTTGGAGTGGACAGGTGTCTTTTATACTGATAACAAGTTCAAACAGGTGCCATTAATACAGGTAACGAGTGGAGGACAGAGGAGCCTCTTAAAAAAGAAGTTACAGGTCTGTGAGAGACAGATCTTGCTTGTTTGTAGGTGACCAAATACTTATTTTCCACCATAATTTGCAAATACATTCATTAAAAATCCTACAATGTGATTTAATGGAAAAAAAATTCTCAATTTGTCTGTCATAGTTGACGTGTACCTATGATGAAAATTACAGGCCTCTCTCATCTTTTTAAGTGGGAGAACTTGCACAATTGGTGGCTGACTAAATACTTTTTTTCCCCACTGTACATCCTGATAGTACTTAGAGGGTTAGTGAGTTGCAGCTATATTCTGGACAGCCTGTCTGTGGTTTGGAACCTAGCCACTAAAGAAAAAAGGGAATGATTGAGATCGTAAGAGCAGCTACCTGTGACAGGTCTGGATGGCCTGTGGTGTGTGTGTGTGTGTGTGTGTAGGCATATGTGCGTGACAGACCTGGAATGGCCTGTGTGTATCCTGGCAGTGTTAAGGCGTATCAGGAAGTTGGCACCTTAGCCTTGACAGAGCTACATAAACACACAGTGTACAGTCAGTTTCTCACCTGGCCCCAGTTCCATTGCTTACATACTGTAATTATGGGTGGAGATTCATATTCATTGACAAAAACAACTATATGCCTCCCCCACATCTCCACAGGTTAAACAAAGACAGACTATCCCAAGGACAGAACAGGGAGGCTTATATTAAGAACAACAACCGTGAAAACAGCATTTATATGTCCACCATGTTCCGCACTTGAAGAGTTACACAAAGACTATTTGCACAGAATTACTGCAGGCTATTCAAGAGCCTTCATGAAGAACAAAAACATGCTTTTTACTGAGTACACTTCTCTCAATGAGATGAAAGTGAGAGTCACCACAGAATGAATACTGAGTTGGACAGAGTCTGGTCGGTCTGGCATTAGCCCTGTGGTTGAATGGAAAGAGAGAGAGAGAGAGAAACACTGTGGTTATTTTGCTCAGCCAGGCCAGTAGCCACAGCTTTATGTAATGTTCTGGTGTTACAGTCAGCCTTTCAGTTCATCTGCTTAGATTATGACTCGTAGGCTACCAGGCAACTATGGAGAGGTCTTACAAGGACACGCTCTCACCCCCACTACATCCAAATCCACATCAAAGCTGACAAACCCTGACAGAACTCCCCTTTATCCATTGAATATCCGAGTGTTTATGAGAATGTCCTCTAAAACCCCAATCAGAAAAATATGTATTTTCAGGATTTGGGGGTTTGTTTTCTCTTCTCACACAGTCAATGTTTTGTCCCGTTGTTTGTGTACCACTCGACATAAGCAGTGATATTTTTCTTGTGTGGAGACGTCTCGCCCTGTGGCAGAGAAAACATGTCCCAACGCGGAGGAGATTGTTTGCTGAGCTCATCACCTTTTACTAAGCATTTGCATCACATAGGGTTCTGGTCAGAACACAAGTAGAGCACTACATGGGGAATAGGGAATCATTTAGATGCAGTCGGTGTGTGTGCGCATTCTTGCTTGTGTGCATCTGTGTGTGTGTGGGTCTGAGTGTGTGTGTGTGCGTTTGCGTGCATGAATGTGTGCCTGCAAGTATGTGTGCGAGTGAGTGTGTGTGTGTGCGTGCGTGTGTGTGTGTGTGTGACTGTGCGTCGAGGCACGATAGACAGGCAGACGTGGTAGCTAGCCTCCAGGCCAGAGCTGAAAACCACAGCCTCCTGTCCTCAGTAGAGCACTAGCAGGGTGACTCACCACCACCGGAAGAGGCTGAACGCTTGCAGAAGTCATTAAGGGAAATGTAAGATATATGGATTTCCTCTGTCAATAAAAATCCACTGCCAGCTGCACAGGCCCCCAGTGATTCCTCCTAAAGTATCTTAGCGTACAGCCTTGGAATGACGGACTACAGTCTGGAAAACATGGGGCTGATTTGTGTGTTGGATGGAGTTCAAGTGGAATCAACCCTAAAGGCTTCTGTTTTATTGCTCCTCTCAGTCAAAATGTCTAAATTTGACAAGAAGTTCAGAAATGCGAATACCAGGGATCCAATTACTGGGTGGGCAGGCTTTTGTTCCAGCCCAGCTCTAACACCCCTGAAATAATCAAGACCCAGACTAAAGACAATAAGTACAGTTTGCACTTATCTATTCTCTGCAGAGGCAAGACTACGGCTTCAGTTCTGATCGCACAATATTGAAATACAATGAAATGGCACCACCATGTGGATACTGTGATTTACAAAATGCATCATAATCTATTATCTCTGAATTCAAAACTGGCAATGCAATTGACATGCGTCTCAAAATGTTTGTTTTTTTCTTCTACATATGACAAATAAAATGTTTAACATTTGAAAAGGTATCGCGACACCATGAGTTGAATACCCTAATAATTATTTATTTAATGTTGATGTGTAGTTATTTATATAAAAATGTTCAATTATCCTAAGAACTGATCCAGAGTCGTTTTGATCAACTTGTGAACATTTGAAACAGGTACTAAGAACGTATCCCACATCATCTGAAGCGGACCGAATCTATCCAATATGGCCGCAGTGAAAACGGATCTCTCGATTTCGGGTGCAGATTTTACAGGAAATACTTTCGTTGTGCTGCATTTGTGAAGGGCTGCCATTTTACCGAGCTTACGGTAAGAGAGAGTTGGTTGTGATGCGTACACGTTCATTGCACATATTCCACTGTTGCTTGTTGATCATAACAGAAACACTGCAAAATAAAGTGTTTCATGGAAAAACATGACTTTGATTAGCTAGCTTTGGTGTGGCTCAGTCTAGCAAGCTTAACGTTAGCTTGATGCTAACTTGCTTGTGTGCTAACGTTACACCGTTTTGACCGCTAGCCAGTCAAAACATGAGCAGCTGATTGAGTCAAACTCGTTTTTGAGCTTGCCTAGCCAGCTTGTTTTTCCATCTAGCCAACTAGCCAGCCACCTGACGTTAGCTATGGTATGCTAGCCCCAAGCATAGGCCTTAACCATAACGTTATATAGCTAGCTAAGTGAATATATCTAGCTAGCTAACGTTACTGTATCAAATCAAATCAAATGTTATTTGTCACATACACGTGTTTAGCATATGTTATAGCGGGTGTAGCGAAATGTTTGTGCTTCTAGCTCCGACAGTGCAGTAATATCTAACAAGTAATATCTAACAATTTCACAACATATACCTAATACACACAAAACTATTACGGAATGGAATTTAAGAAAATATATATAAATATGGATAAGCAATGACAATGACAGAGCAGCATGGACTAAGAAACAGTAGAATATTATAGAATAGAATGCAGTATATATACATATGAGATGAGTAGTGCAAGATATGTAAACGCCATCAAAGTGACTGTAAACATTATTAAAGTGACTAGTGTTCCATTTCTTAAGTCATATGGTCTCAATTATTGAGAAATCCACATGGTCACTATAAAACAAGAGTTCACTTTAGCCAGGAATGGATTGCTTTTCAACTATTGATAAATTTTTATAACATTTGTCTATCAGTATCTACAGTATGAAACATGAGTGACCAAGTGGTCCAGCTCTCCTCAGCCTTCCACCATGAGGACATGCTTCAGTCTCTGCACCAGCTCCGACTGCATGGCCACCTGTGTGATGTCACAGTCCAGGTGGACTTCCAGGGTGAGCTGGAAGAGTTCGAGGCTCACCAGGTGGTCCTAGCTGCCTCCAGCGGCTACTTCAAGAACATCCTACTGGCCCCGGACCCACCCAAGAAACTATTCCTGGGGAACGTTCGAACCACTGATTTCACCAGGTTCTTGGAATATGTATACACTGGCAAACTGGAGGTGGATAAAGAGTTTGCTAAAGACAAGATTGGTGTAATACATGAAGTGGCGACACTTTTGGAGTGTAAGAGCCTTGTCCAGGCTTGCTGCTCGGTTCTCGATGAAGGCAGCTTGAGTCCGCACAGGGCTGAAACATCCATGTCACAAGACAAGGAGGCTGATTTGGATGATGTAGAAGAGGAGGAGGGGGCGCTGGGGGTCGAAGTAAACAAAGTTCCCAAAATAGCCTCCACCAAAAGGCTGACCTCTCCAACAAAACCAGAGAGAGGGGAGAGGAGTTTGAAAAGGGCAAAGGTCACGGTCACAGCCGAGGAGGAGAGGTCAGAGGTGAATAAAGACACTGAGGTCTCTGGGAGAAGGAGTAACAGGCTGGCAGGGCGCAGAGTCTTCGTTGACATTCCTAAGAAGAAGTACGTGAGGAAGATGAAGGACCAGACCAAGATGCAGATGGAAGATCTGCATGACAACAACACTCAGACAACCAGTCAGGAGGAGAACACTGACAACACACAGGTATGTGCTATGTTGACATGCTTTGATAGTGGATGAGGCGTGTAAAGCATTTTGAACATCTAGATAAATGTGCTGTATAAATCCAATTGATCTTGATTATTGTTATTACACAGGAGGCAGAAGAGGCCCTTCCAGAGCTGCTGCCTGAAAAAGAGGGGGCGGGACTGGAATCAACAGACGTTGATGATGAAGATGAGGTGGAAGAGGGAGATATACCACAGGATTGTCCAGATGACTCCCTCTTCTTCCCCAGCAAGGAAGAGGAGGGCGAGGAGGAAGGAGAGGAACGTGCCACCAACAGATCATCCAGACGTATTGACACCCAATACAAGTGTGACAAATGTCAACGGACCTTCCACTATGAGAAGAGCTACCTGAAGCACATCAAGTAGGTGGAGTTGGACATTACACATTAGTTAGACATTCGTTGGATCATGAATAGGTGGGTTTGAAAATGAGCCAAATGTAGACATACACTGCACTATTGTCATTGTTGTTCTGATCACATCTCTATTAACTACATTGTTACCATGACCACCAGGACGAGCCACAGTGTGCAGGGGGAGGTGACTTACCGTTGTGACACCTGCCAGCAAACCTTCGCCAACCGCTGCAACCTGAAGATCCATCAGAGACACGTCCACAGTGACGAGAGACTGTTCCCCTGTGATGTCTGCACCAAGACTTTCAAACGCAAGAAGGACGTGACACGCCACCGACGACAGGTTAGGATGGGTCTGAGTCAGGATTTGGGACTGCTTTTGTAACACTTTTATGTAGTATTCTCTCGATTGACGCCCTGTTCCCATGTAGTGCACAACTTTTGAACAGAACTGTAGGTGGTTAACCCATGTGACTCTGGTCAAATGAAGTGCACTAGATGAAAATGGTATATCCTTTTCAATTTGCTGCAAGACTAATCATTAATTGAGACAATAAATATCCACTATTTTCTACGGCTAGGTGCATGAGGGAGGTGGTGAGCGGCACACCTGTCTTGTGTGTAACAAGGCTTTGAGCTCTAAGACAGCGTTGACGCTACATGAGAGAACACACACAGGAGACAAGCCCTACTCCTGCACTGACTGTGAAGCCAAGTTCTCCCAGAGCTCAGCCCTCAAGACACACCGCAGGACTCACACAGGAGAGAAGCCTTTCGCCTGTGACCAGTGTGATGCGAGGTTCACCCAGAACCACATGTTGTCCTATCACAAAAGGGCCCACACAGGTAAGACTTTCACTTCTTACACGGATACATTGTATATATTTTTTAAAGCTGTAAGGTTTGGCTTTTCCTGATTAATCAGGATTTTTATACTGTTTCTTAGATCTACACAAACCAGCCTAAACCCATCTGTTTTGTTTGGCCTACCAGGAGAGAAGCCTTTTATGTGCGAGAGCTGTGGGAAAAGCTTTGCCTCTAAAGAATACCTGAAACACCACTCCAGAATCCACACAGGCTCCAGGCCTTACAAGTGTGAACAATGTGGTCGGGCCTTCGCCCAGAGAAACTCCCTCCACCAGCATATGAAGATACACACAGGTAACCACTGCAATATAAAACCAAATATAGCCATTTTATTTTCATGCTGAATGCATCGAATGTTACGGTTAGTAATCACAAGACACATTGCTACTACCGTTAGTAGTTTGGTATCTTCCATTCATAGTGAATCATTACCCTTTGAAAATATGTCTGCCTCTGCTGACCATTGACCTTTAACCCCTGTCTGACCTCTGTATGTCCTGTCTCAGGTGAGCGCCCGTACCACTGTACAGATTGTGATAAGCAGTTCACCCAGCTGAATGCCCTCCAGAGGCACCAGAGGATTCATACAGGGGAGAAGCCCTACATGTGTGGCCTCTGCAACCGTACCTTCACTGACAAGTCCACTGTACGAAGACACACCATGGTGCGTTACTACACTACTGAAACTACACTTGTTTTCATTCAACAATGTGTGTAATAAGTCATGTTGGAGACATTGATTTGTGCTGCAAAAGCCTGTTATTTGAAGATGTGCACTTTATTCCACAGACTCATGACCAAAACACTCCATGGAAGAACTACCTGGTGGTCCTCAAGGACAACGTTGAGGAAAAGACTAAGAAACCCAGAGGCCTTGGTAGAAAGGTTAAAATGGAGACGGTGGTTCAGGAGGTGGAAGGGGATAGTGGAGCTGGAGGTAGGCTCCAGGAGGGGACCATATTGGTTCCTGGTGAGCCCATCACACTCTCAGCCAACTGGGGCGACCCAGGGACCATCGCCCTGGTTAGCCACACCACCCTGGGTGGGTTCACGGTCATCCAGACAGAAATGCCGGCAGGGACCCAGCTACCCATCGTCACCACAGACGGCACCGGGGCCAGTGTCATCTCTCTGGATGGATCCACTGTCTCTGTCCCCTTTACTATCCCTGTCTCTATGTCCTCCATCCCTGTGACCTCGTCCTCCTCTGGTCCCCTCCCTGTCCAGACTGTGTCTCTCTCTGTCCCCGTCACTGTCTCAGGGGCCATATTTGCCCCAGTTTCAGTTTCGGAGACCACTCTTTCAACTTCATCCGTGCTGGAAACTGCGGTGTCGCAGACCATCTTGGCTCCAGATTTGGAAGCTGGGCCTGGTTCAGATATGACGGCCATTATGGATCCTGAGGAGGCAGTTTCAGAGTGTGCCCCTATCTCTGAGGAGTGTGTTACAGTGCAGACATCAGAACTGGAGACTGAGACACAGACAGCTGCTGTCTCTAATGAGGAACAACACAGTGTACCAGAGGACATAGGTACTGTGGAAGACATTGAGGTGTCCACTGAAGATACTGTGGTGTAGGTTGGCATGTATTTCAATGTACAAACCCTTCCATATGTATTTGGGCATTGAGGATAATTTACACTATACTCCAGCATTTTGGATTTGAGATCAAATGTTTCATATGAGGTGACAGTACAGAACACCACCTTTTTTTTGGGGGGGGGGGGGGTATTTTCATACAGTGCCTTGCAAAAGTATTCATCCCCCTTGGGGTTTTTCCTATTTTGTTGCATTACCATTTTTATTTGGATTTCATGTAATGGACATACACAAAGTAGTCCAAAATTGGTGAAGTGAAATGAAAAAAACATGTTTCAAAAAATTATACAAAATAAATAACAGAAAAGTGGTGCGTGCATATGTATTCACCCCCTTTGCTATGAAGCCCCTAAATAAGATCTGGTGCAACCAATTACCTTCAGAAGTCACATAATTAGTTGAGGTTGACTTTATTTAAGTGTCACATGATCTGTCACATGATCTCAGTATATATACACCTGTTCTGAAAGGCCCCAGAGTCTGCAACACCACTAAGCAAGGGGCACCATCAAGCAAGTGGAACCATGAAGACCAAGGAGCTCTCCAAACAGGTCAGGGACAAAGTTGTGGAGAAGTACAGATCAGGGTTGGGTTCTAAAAAAATATCAGAAACTTTGAACATCCCACGGAGCACCATTAAATCCATTATTAAATAATGGAAATATATGGCACCACAACAAACCTGCCAAGAGAGGGCCACCCACCAAAACGTACAGACCAGGCAAGGAGGGCATTAATCAGAGAGGCAACAAAGAGACCAAAGATAACCCTGAAGGAGCTGCAAAGCTCCACAGCGGAGATTGGAGTATCTGTCCATAGGACCACTTTAAGCCGTACACTCCACAGAGCTGGGCTTTTACGGAAGAGTGGGCAGAAAAAAACCATTGCTTAAAGAAAAAAATAAGCGAACACGTTTGGTGTTCGCCAAAAGGCATGTGGGAGACTCCCCAAACATATGGAAGAAGGTACTCTGGTCAGATGAGACTAAAATTGAGGTTTTTGGCCTTCAAGGAAAATGCTATGTCTGAGGCAAACCCAACACCTCTCATCACCCCGAGACCACCATCCTGGTGGTGGTGGCAGCATCGTGCTGTGGGGATGTTTTTCATCGGCAGGGACTGGGAAACTGGACAGAATTGAAGGAATGATGGATGGCGCTAAATACAGGGAAATTCTTGAGGGAAACCTGTTTCAGTCTTCCAGAGATTTGAGACTGGGACGGAGGTTCACCTTCCAGCAGGACAATGACCCTAAGCATACTGCTGAAGCAACACTTGAGTGGTTTAAGGGGAAACATTTAAATGTCTTGGAATGGCCTAGTCAAAGCCCAGACCTCAATCCAATTGAGAATCTGTGGTATGACTTAAAGATTGCTATACACCAGCGGAACCCATCCAACTTGAAGGAGCTGGAGCAGTTTTGCCTTGAAGAATGGGCAAAAATCCCAGTGGCTAGATGTGCCAAGCTTATAGAGACAAACCCCAAGAGACTTGCAGCTGTAATTGCTGCAAAAGGTGGCTCTACAAAGTATTGACTTTGGGGGGGTGAATAATTATAGCTCAAGTTTTCTGTTTTTTTGTCTTATTTCTTGTTTGTTTCACAATGAAAAAATATTTTGCATCTTCAAAGTGGTAGGCATGTTGTGTAAATCAAATGATACAAACTGCCAAGGGGGGTGAATACTTTCGCAAGCCACTGTAACTTTTTTCAATTTACAAAATGAAATGACTATCAAAATCAAATCAAATGTATTTGTCACATACACAGTTTGCAGCAGGTATAAAAGTTGCAGTGAAATGTTTTTTCCTAGCTCCCTCAATAATGCAGTACATTAATCAACAATAACAGTGAAAAGAGTCAATAAAAAATAACAAGTAGTAGAAGAGGTAGTATGCATAGTAATAATGGACTGGATTTACACTATTTACAAATATAAAGTGGGTTGTGGAATCAATAGTATAAATTAGAACAGCAGCATTGACTGTAAGTGTGTGAGCTCAGTGCTTGTTTGTGTGTAAGGGTTGGATATGTGTGTAGTTGGTGCAGATCATTTCTAAGGTGCATAATGCAAATAGTCTCTAAGGTGCAGATCTGTGCAGGGAGACCGCTATGTTTAGCTTTTTAGCAGTCTGATGGCCTGGTGGTAGAAGCTGTCTCGGAGCCTGTTGGTCCAAGACCCAATACTCAGATACCACTTGCCAGATGGTAACAGAGTCAACAGTCCATGGCTCGGGTGACTGGAGTCCTTGAAGATCTTTTTGGCCTTCCTAAGACACCGGCTGGTGTAGATATCCTGGAGGGCAAGGAGCTCGCCCTCAGTTATTCATTAGGCCGTCCGCACCACCCTCAGTAGGGCCTTCCGGTTGAGGGCAGTGCAGTTGCCGTACCAGGCGGTGATGCTGCCGTTCAAGAGGCTCTCGATTGTTCAACTTCTTTAGGATCCGAGTGCCCATGCCGAATTTCTTCAGGCGCCTGAAGTTGAAGAGACACTGCTGCTTCACCACGGTGGTGGTGTGATTGGAACATGTCAGGTTCTCTGTGATGTGCACGCCGAGGAACTTGAAGCTTTTTACCCTCTCCACTGCAGCCCGTTGATGACAATAGTGGCGTGCTCCTCCCCTTGTTTCCTGTAGTCCATAATCAGCTCCTTGGTTTTGCTGACATTGAGGGAGAGTGAATATGTCTAGCGCACAGGTGTCAAACTCATTCCACAGAGGGCCGAGTTGGCTGTGGGTTTTGCTCCTCCCTTGTACTTGATTGATTAATTAAGGACCCTAATTAGTAAGGAACTCCCCACACCTTAATGGCTTAATTAAAGGAAAAACCTGCAGACACTAGGCCCTCCATGGAATGAGTTTGACAACCCTGGTCTAGTGCAAGGGTATTCAACTCTTAAAGGCTCTGCATGGTTCATCTGACGTCTGCAGTGGAAGTACAGCATTTACTGCGATGCGGCCTCCGCAGAGGTCCGAGCATTCATACTTCTTCACGGAGCAGAGCTGTTGTGAAGGAAGTTGTCAAGGAAGTGAGTTTCTGTTGATACAAGACCTCCCGCCCCCACCTACTGTCAACCAATCATGTCAATGCGGAGCTTTACAGAGCTATAAGGAGCCCCTTTACAGAGCTATAAGGAGCCCCCAGCGATGCAATATGGAGCTCGATTTGGACTCCGCAAGCCTCCGGAGGCTCCGCAATTGCGTAACACCCTCCGGACCACATTTCGGATCAAGCATTAATTGGCTTTACTCTACCAGGTCCGGAGCCTGCTGGTTTCTGTTCTACCTGATAATGAATTGCACACACCTGGTGTCCCAGGTCTAAATCAGTCCCAGATTAGAGGGGAATAATTACAAAAAAGCAGTGGAACTGGCTTTGAGGTTCAGAGTTGAGTTTGAGGGGTATAGCGAGTCCAACAGTTGTGGTTTCATCGCGCTGTGATGTTCTCAGCTGGATTTAGAGCTTTCAACATAAAAAAATACTAAGTAATTTCATAGAATTGAAGCAAGCATTTTCTCTTGGTCACAGACGGACAAATTGACTTTGCGCTTAAAGTTGAAGTTGTAACGAGTCTGCATACATTGAATGGTGTCTCTGCACCACTCAGTGGACTTTTAGGAGAAAAGTCTGTCGTCAGTTATATGAAATGCTACCAATATTGTACTGTCATTAAACCATTGAATCAATTTCCGCGGCCCTGTGGAAATTGAATTAGCATAAAGACATCTCCATAAAAATCGGTCTGTTTAATAAGCTAGAGATATCTACATGGGCAGCGTCTCAATCTACCGATATGAAAAATGTATGCACTCACTAACTGTAAGTCGCTCTGGATAAGAGCGTCTGCTAAATGACTAAAATGTAAAAATAGGCCTTCCACATCTGTGGTGAAAGGTGGCAGAGCTACAGCAGTGTTTGTCAGACCAGGAGACATCCCCTAAAATCGGTCTTTTCACGTCTGAACAGTTTGGGCTACACACTAATATGACCCCTCTATGGAAAGGTGAGTCTCTTACTTATGTAAATGTTATATTTCAGTTGTATATTTTTAATACATTTGCTAAAATTGCAAACAATTGTTTTTGCTTTGGCATTGATGAGGGATTTTATTTTATTTTTAAAAACCTTTTTACAATAAGGCTGTAACGTAACAAAATGTGGAAAAAATCAAGTGGTCTGAATACTTTCCGAATGCACTGTATATATGGAAGTAGTTTAGCGGCTAATAAAAGGGTTTAAATGTGTCCAAAAAATAAATAAAAAATGTGTTTCCTGATCTTATATCTCTCGGATATAGGACAGAAACCTCAAAACAAACTTCCTTTAGATAGTAAAAAAATATATATGTTTTTCCATGAATCTGTTATTCAATGTGTTTTGGATAGGCTAATAGCAGTAAGGCCAAATTCAATATATCATCAAATAATTTTATATTTCTTTATATATATATACTTAAAGGGGACCTAAAATTCAAAATCTAATAGCTAAATGATCCTTGGTATTACCATCTTAAAACAATTACATATGTTAGCTTAGTAGAAAGGTGAAATATTATAGTAAGTTGTTTATTTGATTGATACTATATTTAGAAAACATTTGTCATTTTAAGCCCCACTTTTATTGAATAGGCAAAAAGCATGTATTTTCATAATATTTGTACTATGTACTTGAGCTTGTGTCCTCAAGTGGGTACACCTCAGCAATGTATAACCATTTTTACCAGAAAGGTGAGTTCCAGACCTTTCTAAAACTATGCAACGTTACCAGTTATTGTTTATGGCCATCTTGTGAAAAATTATTATGTTTGGATATGTCTATTCAAGTGGAAATCAAAATGTTGAATCATTCAAGGCAATGATTCCGCAGAGATCCCATTCACGGTCGATGCTGCATATGTTGGCTCAATCGGAAATTGCCTTTAAAAGCTGCAATGCCTATAACCTGCAATCATATAGAATCCCTGCCTAAGTATGCTTAATTCGGTTTATTTTGTGTAACATGTTTTGACATTTGCTCCTGGTTCCTCCTAACATTGTCATCACTAATACAAATTAAAAAATAGACTAAGTCTTCAGATGTTTTTGTGTTTTCGACAAACAGCAATATCAGTAGAGACCCACAGGGAATAATGTTTTTATTTTTTGTTAATTTTCAGACACACAGACCAAATAAAAAGAAAACGGCACCATTCCATCTGAAAGAAGCTTGATATGCAGGCTGACTGCCCCCTACGTTGTGGGGCGCTCAGTACTACAAGGAAATGTTGCACAACGCTATTACCTACGCACACAAAGACATGCAGCGCTGCTAGTGACCAGCAAGAGGATGCACTAGTATACACCAGCATGGTTACAACTTCACGACACATAGTACATCAACATGAGTGACAATGAGAACAAACTGGAGTTTAGAAGTGAAACTGCTCTTACAAGAGGGCAAGGGATTTTCTTAGCTTTCTCCTTTTTCTTAGCTATGCATAAAAAACAACTTTGCAAGCAGAATTAGGAAGTCGCCTCACATTGGCAGATAACCCAAAAATGTGTAAAGATGGTATTTGTAGATAACCTCATAAATAATACAGAATAAGAAATATGGAAAAAATACAAACTAAGCAAACTGAATACAACATCTCCAATATGCTTTCTGGCCATGTCTTGTAAGTAAATTGTATTTGTATCAATTGTCCTTTTCAAAAATAAGAATACCAAAAAATTCCTAGGTGTTTTTTATATGAAACAATTAATTGTGTCACCTCAGGCTGGAATACCTTCGTTTACAAGAACCATTTATGATATAAGTAATCAACATTTCCTTTCTAAATCCCTTCTAAGACATTTTTCAAGTTGGAAGCCAAGCAAAGACAATGGAAAAGCAAAAAATTTAATCTTTAAATATATATCTACTGAACCTATAGAATAATGAATTACAACTGTACAAATCATGCAGTGTTTGTGCGCTCAATACTAACATCAGTGATCAATGCCTTAGTATTAGAACGCCTCTCTACCCTTCTCAGAAGTTTACTCACTACTAAACAGGAAATGTATCGCATCTATCCTCCAGAAAGAGGTGTGACTGGATCCACATCCTAACTAGAGTTTGGCGAGAATAAGAGAGATCTGATATAATAGATTTCAACAGAGTATACACTCTTTTACAGATTCTTTAGAAAGGCCTGCACCAGAGGTAGGCAACTAGATTCAGTCGCAGGACGATTTCTGTAGGAGCGGATGGTTGGGGGGCCGGAACATAATTATAATAATTTGTACACTGCAAATTTACCACAACTAAGCCCAAAAATAGATTGTATTTCAAAATAATCATTTCATTGAGACACGATCACATATCCCTTTTTTTATTTGTGGGAATACTTGGGAACAGATTTACTCAATTAAACTTATTTTTAGCTGACCAAAACCTCAAATCCCTCCCCCAAAATCTCAGACCCCTGGCCTAGACATTGCAGCAGTTTTAAATAACTGGACATTTTGTATGTAAGAACCTGGACTGAGTCATTGCACAAAAACAATATGGGATGAGTGAGTAAGGGGAGGGGTGAAGTAGTGGGGAGGGGTGGCATGCCATGTTTGCGCCCCGCGGTGATGTGTTCCCCCTGGCATGGTCTCACTTCAGGTCTCCCTCGTCCCCCTGGATGGTCTTCTTGATACGCAGCAGCATGGTGGTCTGCCATTGGTCCAGACGAGAGATAGAGTCAAACTCTTTAATCTGAGGGAGAGAGAAAGGGAATAAGATTAAATCTAAGTTCAAATACTAAAGGAATCCATGCTCTTTCATTCAATAATTACTGATCTGACATGACTGTATTCGTGAAAGCCATGTACTGGAGTCCATAGCTTTCACCAATCCAATTATAAGTAACGATATCAGAGACCTACATTTTTTCAAAAACGAAAAAGAAGCCCGCCTGGTGAATCAATGAGACATTTAGACTTACTGCTTCTGTGAAAGCTTCACAGTTCTGTTCCTCATGAGCATCCAGGAGTTTCTGTAAAACAACAGTGATTTACAGTAGGTTGTCAGATTGCTTCTGCAAAATGGCTGTTGTGCATTACAGGTACAGTTGAAGTCGGACATTTACATACACCTTAGCCAAATACATTTAAACTCAGTTTTTCACAATTCCTGACATTTAATCCTAGTAAAAATTCCCTGTCTTAGGTCAGTTAGGATCACCACTTTATTTTAAGAATGTGAAATGTCAGAATAATAGTAGAGAGAATGATTTATTTAAGCTTTTATTTCTTTCATCACATTCCCAGTGGGTCAGAAGTTTACATACACTCAATTAGTATTTGGTAGCATTGCCTTTCAATTGTTTAACTTGGGTTAAACGTTTCGGGTAGCCTTCCACAAGCGTCCCACAATATGTTGGGTGAATTTTGGCCCATTCCTCCTGACAGAGCTGGTGTAACTGAGTCAGGTTTGTAGGCCTCCTTGCTTGCATATGCTTTTTCAGTTCTGCCCACACATTTTCTATAGGATTGAGGACAGGGCTTTGTGACGGCCACTCCAATACCTTGACTTTGTTGTCCTTAAGCCATTTTGCCACAACTTTGGAAGTATGCTTGGGGTCATTGATACTTTTGTACCTGTTTTCCTCCAGCATCTTCACAAGGTCCTTTTGCTGTTGTTCTGGGACCTGTTTCCTCCAGCATCTTCACAAGGTCCTTTGCGGTTGTTCTGGGATTGATTTGCACTTTTCGCATCAAAGTACGTTCATCTCTAGGAGACAGAACACGTCTCCTTCCTGAGCGGTATGACGGCTGCGTGGTTCCATGGTGTTTATACTTGCGTACTATTGTTTGTACAGATGAACGTGGTACCTTCAGGCGTTTGGAAATTGCTCCCAAGGATGAACCAGACTTGTGGAGGTCTACAAATTTCTTTCTGAGGTCTTGGCTGATTTATTTTGATTTTCCCATGATGTCAAGCAAGGAGGCACTGAGTTTGAAGGTAGGCCTTGAAATACATCCACAGGTACACCTCCAGTTGACTCAAATGATGTCAATTAGCCTATCAGAAGCTTCTAAAGCCAAGACATCATTTTCTGGAATTTTCCAAGCTGTTTAAAAGGCACAGTCAACTTAGTGTATGTAAACTTCTGACCCACTGGAATTGTGATACGGTGAATTATAAGTGAAATAATCTGTCTGTAAACAATTGTTGGAAGAATTACTTGTGTCATGCACAAAGTAGATGTCCTAACCGACTTGCCAAAACTATAGTTTGTTAACAAGAAATTTGTGGAGTGGTTGAAAAACGAGTTTTAATGACTCCAACCTAAGTGTATGTAAACTTCCGACTTCAACTGTAGGTGCTACACATTAGTAGTGGATGACATACCCCATACTATGTAAGCGCTCTGAGATCTAGTGAACTTTGCACAATATACAGTGAGGGAAAAAAGTATTTGATCCCCTGCTGATTTTGTACGCTTGCCCACTGACAAAGAAATGATCAGTCTATAATTTTATTGGTAGGTTTATTTGAACAGTGAGAGACAGAATAACAACAAAAAAAGCCAGAAAAACGCATGTCAAAAATGTTATAAATTGATTTGCATTTTAATGAGGGAAATAAATATGTGACCCCCTCTCAATCTGAAAGATTTCTGGCTCCCAGGTGTCATTTATACAGGTAACGAGCTGAGATTATGAGCACACTCTTAAAGGGAGTGCTCCTAATCTCAGCTTGTTACCTGTATAAAAAGACACCTGTCCACAGAAGCAATCAATCAGATTCCAAACTCTCCACCATGGCCAAGACCAAAGAGCTCTCCATGGATGTCAGGGACAAGATTGTAGACCTACACAAGGCTGGAATGGGCTACAAGACCATCGCCAAGCAGCTTGGTGAGAAGGTGACAACAGTTGGTGCGATTATTTGCAAATGGAAGAAACACAAAAGTCCTGTCAATCTCCCTCGGCCTGGGGCTCCATGCAAGATCTCACCTCGTGGAGTTGCAATGATCATGAGAACGGTGAGGAATCAGCCCAGAACTACACGGGAGGATCTTGTCAATGATCTCAAGGCAGCTGGGACCATAGTCACCAAGAAAACAATTGGTAACACACTACGCCGTGAAGGACTGAAATCCTGCAGCGCCCGCAAGGTCCCCCTGCTCAAGAAAGCACATATACATGCCCGTCTGAAGTTTTGCCAATGAACATCTGAATGATTCAGAGGAGAACTGGGTGAAAGTGTTGTGGTCAGATGAGACCAAAATTGAGCTCTTTGGCATCAACTCAACTCGCCGTGTTTGGAGGAGGAGGAATGCTGCCTATGACCCCAAGAACACATTTACATTAAATGTTTGTCATTTAGCAGATGCTCTTATCCAGAGCGACTTATAGGTGCAATTAGGGTTAAGTGCCTTGCTCAAGGGCACATCGACAGATTTTTCACCTAGTCGGCTCAGGGATTAGAACCAGCGACCTTTCGGTTACTGGCACAACGCTCTTAACCACTAAGCTCCCTGCCGCCCACCATCCCCACCGTCAAACATGGAGGTGGAAACATTATGCTTTGGGGGTGTTTTTCTGCTAAGGGGACAGGACAACTTCACCGCATCAAAGGGACGATGGACGGGCCCATGTACTGTCAAATCTTGGGTGAGAACCTCCTTCCCTCAGCCAGGGCATTGAAAATGGGTCGTAGATGGGTATTCCAGCATGACAATGACCCAAAACACACGGCCAAGGCAACAAAGGAGTGGCTCAAGAAGGCCTAGCCAGTCTCCAGACCTTAATCCCATAAAAAAATCTGTGGAGGGAGCTGAAGGTTCGAGTTGCCAAACGTCAGCCTCGAAACCTTAATGACTTGAAGAAGATCTGCAAAGAGTGGGACAAAATCCCTCCTGAGATGTGTGCAAACCTGATGGCCAACTACAAGAAACGTCTGACCTCTGTGATTGCCAACAAGGGTTTTGCCACCAAGTACTAAGTCATGTTTTGCAAAGGGGTCAAATACTTATTTCCCTCATTAAAATGCAAATCAATTCATAAAATTTTTGACATGCGTTTTTCTGGATTTTTTTGTTGATATTCTGTCTCTCAATGTTCAAATAAACCTACCATTAAAATTATAGACTGATCATTTCTTTGTCAGTGGGCAAACGTACAAAATCAGCAGGGGATCAAATACTTTTTTCCCCTCACTGTAACTTTAAACTATTACCATGATCAACACCATAAAGGGATACAATTAACAAATAGAAGGCTTTAGATGGAGTCACTGACATACCTTCAACAGCTTGCACTCTCTCGAGTCAGAGAAAGCTGGGAACATCTCTTCGTACTTCTCGACAGCAAGCTGCAGAAATAAATTACAATTCAGTTTTCCTTCATATAAAGCACTAAGTCAGTACTGCTTCATACAAAATCAGAACAGGACTGAACCCATATGGTCTAGGTGACATGATGCTGCTAACTGACTTTAGCGTTAAGTTCATCCACGATGAAGTGACACAGAGAGGCTTTGAAGAAGTACTCTTTGGCGCTGTATTTCAGCAAGGGGTTATCCATGGTGCTGGATCCAACCTGGTAACACACACACACAAACATTGTCAATTCACTGTGTTCATCAATTTCATTGGGAAACCATTGATATACAAATCAGTTTCTGTTCAGTCACACATGCACCCACAAGCATGCTGAGGTGACACACACACACAGAGACACACACCTGTTCGTAGATCTCGATGGCCTTTGCGTACTGTTCCAACTGAGCGGCATAGGCCCCCACCTTCAGTAGACACTTGTTTGCAGAACTGTTGGACTCCTCTCCTTTGTAGTAGTCTGCTGCCTGCTCATAGTGGGCGATGGCCTATACCAGGACCAGGGGGAATGGGAACCAAAACACAGTTTGAGTAGAGGTCCAGAAAATGCAAAATAATGGAATTTTCTTTCTAATGTAAACCAATAAGGAAATGAGACGGTGAGAAATTGGTAAGCTATTCCAAATATTCCATGTCTTCAGACACCTTACTAGTCCAATGACTCCATATACGACGACGCATACACACAAACATATTCAAAACGCACCTTCTCTATATCCACCAGTTCTGACTCGTAGATCTCTGCGATGGTGATGTGGTGTTTGGCTGCAATGGTGAACCTTCCCTGGACGAGCCAAACACAGGACAGGAATCAATACTGGGGCCGGGAGTTTTACCTTACTACGTGACCAGACCAGGAAATACTTTGGACCCTGATCGTTACTAAGTGGCTTTAGACAGAGGAGAGAAATCATTACTAACTGGCTTTACAGAGAAGCATAGTACTTTAACTTAACCTGCATCACAATACAAATGTTGTAGTTGAAATGGCCTTCGTAAGCCACTCCACTCAATACTACTAATACAATGCATCACCCTCTTTTGAAACAGAGAGGAGCATCTTCAAGAGGGCTAGGCTATACTATAGGGAGGGTGCCATTGAGAGAATAGCATTGGAACAAAATAGTAGAACCTGCATTATCAGAACAGTTTTACAACTATGGCCAAAAGGAAAATAATCTGTCTTTCATGAAGACTGGTGATGATGAACCATGACAATGTATTATATTGTTCTGGCCATGCATGTCCCCGCCTGAGCATCTGTCTTACCATGTCTGTGTATATATCAACAGCTGCGTTTAAGCACTTGATAGCCTCTATTGGCAGCATTAAAGGAAGAAGAGGGGAGAGTTAGACTGACAGAGACAGTATTAGGTTAGGTTAGATACATACATATGTCAGAAGGACGTCCAAAAGGAGAGTTCTGAAAACTGGAAAGAAGTGAAAGAAACATGCATGCATTTGCATTACGATTCTTTCGTCACCACTGAGCATCCATTTCCCTTTCTTAGTTTAGGTTATCTGAAACCATCAAATCCTATATAGTAATATTCATTTTATTGTAATCCAGGGTTAGATCAAGGGTGCATAACATTACATTTACATCATTTAGCAGACGCTCTTATCCAGAGCGACTTACAAATTGGTGCATTCAACTTATGGTGGGACAACCACCTTTTTTTTATGGGGGGTGGGGGAAGAAGGATTACTTTATACTATTCCAGGTATTCCTTAAAGAGGTAGGGTTTCAAGTGTCTCCGGAAGGTGGTCAGTGACTCCGCTGTCCTGGGGTCGTGGGGGAGCTTGTTCCACCATTGGGGTGCCAGAGCAGTGAATAGCTTTGACTGGGCTGAGTGGGAACTGTGCTTCCGTAGAGGTAGGGGAGCTAGCAGGGCAGAGGTGGATGAACGTAGTGCCCATTAAATCTTATTTTTCCTTGGCTGGGTATTTAATCTACAGTAGGTTATACTTATATCACCACCACCACTGGGGGGTGGGTTTATTATTAAATCCAGACAAACCTCAATAATAACCATCCCAGGGTTGGTACTCCAGCCCCACCGCTCTACAGTATTAATCATACCAAAGGTAAAAGAGGAGAGCTACTCAATTCTACTCAGTAGATATTTATTGTACGGTACTCAAGGGCAATTTGTTTGCAATATGGTTAGAGTTTGTAATATAGTCAGTAATATAGCATGGCTCTCTCCCCTCTGACCCTGGAGTAGATGGTTGGCCCACATAATAATAATAATAATAATAATAATAATAATAATAATAATAATAATGCCATTTAGCAGACGCTTTTATCCAAAGCGACTTACAGTCATGTGTGCATACATTTTTTACGTATGGGTGGTCCCGGGGATCGAACCCACTACCCTGGCGTTACAAGCGCCGTGCTCTACCAATTGAGCTACAGAGGGCCACATGTCAGATGCAAACAGACATCCTATACAGGGTAGCCTGATTTCTGACACAGTACCAGAGAGACTGGGACTTATCGTGTGTGTGACACTAAGAAATGACTGGCAATTCTAACTCATTATGACTCTTCCCTGTAGACTAGCTTCTCCGTACAGTCCATTCTGCTCCAGTTACAGTTCCAGAGCCCCAACTCCCACTGCTGCCTGTGTAGATCTGACGGACACATACCACCGACTTCTATTAGCCCTGAAAACAGTGCAGCAGTTTTCGCTACTTTCACAAGGGACAGAAATGTAAAGTAAAGTTAAAGCAGGCTGTTTGAGGTCAATTACTGTAGCCTAAATGCCCAGTTTGGCCTTTGGTGTGTGGTATCTCACCGTTAGGGTCTGCCTTTTTGAAGGCATTTCCTGCATCGATGAAGCTGGTGGCCGAGTCGTGTTTGTTCTGGAGCTGCATGTGGATCCGGGCCGCCTGGCAGAACGCATTACCAGCAGCTGGAGAGAGACACACACAAATGTAACCTCAACATACAGCAAATTCATTGCACCTTGTTCCTCGAGGCCCTCCAAGAATAGTGCTGTGCAATTACAGATGGAATCACACAGCTAAAATGACTCCAAACCACAGTGACTTTGCATATTTCTGACACTGAATGTTATCAGATCTTCAACCAAAATCGAATATTAGATAAATGGAACCTGAGTGAACAAATAACAGTGATAATTATTTCATTTATTGAATTAAAGTTATGCAACACCCAATGCCACCGTGTGAAACAGTAATTGCCCCCTTACACTCAATAACTGGTTGTGACACCTTTAGCTGCAATGATTGCAACCAAATGCTTCCTGTAGTTGATCAGTCTCACATCTCTGTGGATGAATTTTGGCCCACTCTTCCATGCAGAACTGCTATAATTCAGCAACATTTGTGGGTTTTTGAGCATTAACTGCTAGTTTCAGGTCCTGCCACAACATCTTAAAATCGGGTTTAGGTCTAGACTTTGACTAGGCCATTCCAGAACTTTAAATGTGTTGCTTTTCAGCCATTCTGATGTAGACTTGCTTGTGTGTTTTGGATAACTTTCTTGCTGCATGACCCAGCTGCGCTTCAGCTTCAGCTCACGGACGGCCTGACATTCTGCTCTAGAATTCTCTGATACAGAGCAGAATTCATGGTTCCTTCAATGATGGCAAGTCGTCCAGGTCCTGAGGCAGCAAAGGATCCCCAAACCATCACACTTCCACCACGCTTGACCGTTGGTATGAGGTTCTTACTGTGGAATGCAGAGTTCGGTTTTCGCCAGACATAACAGGACCCATGTCATCCAAAGGGTCGACTCAAGTTTGCCAAAAAGCACCTGGATGATCTACAAGACTCCTGGAAGAATGTTCTATGGACAGAATCCGTTTATCTAACATTAGGTTATGGTTAAAGATCTGATAACATTCAGTGTCCAGAATAAGAAACATTTAGAAATCAGAACGGGGGCAAATACCTTTTCACAGCATTGTATAGTCAACTGGAAAAATAACAATTGCTTCTTCCGAAACTGACAGCGTTTAAATAACACTTTAGTTTTAATTACTACCTTCGTCAGAGATGCACGTGCACACACACCTCGGCTCTGACACAATGTGCAACCACTAGTGGGCTAATCATTCAATCAAGGTCAACCATGTTTAGTATGAAATAGACCACACAGAAGTGTACCGTTCCAGTTCTTGGCCATCTTGAACATGTTGGCTGCTCTGCAGTACATTTCACAAGCCTCCTCAACTTTATGAGGTCCACTGTAGAGAGAAGAGAGCAAAATACATAGGATTTACACACAAGACACAAACCTATGCCACTTAAATCATACAGTTTTAGATGTGGGTGAAGTTGCTCATATAGGGAACGACTGCAATGCAGTGCTTTCATCAACCAAGCACTTATTATTGACCAGACCCCTTATGCTTAGAGTGAAGACATCAGTCAGCCGACCATGTTGGACGGTGGTGCTGGTATAGATATCTCTCGGTCTCTCTCTCCCTGACCCTGTGGGTATTTCCTCCAACTCTAGACCAATGATGCTCTAGCCATCCAAACAGCCACTAACCAGGTTTCCATCCAACCTTTTTATGCGAGTAAAGTACATTGTAGAAAAATGTTTTGCGACAGGCCTGATTGAAACTGCAAATTCGTATGGAAACTTTCCGACAAAACAAAATACGCTAGACAAGGTGGATCTTTTTGCGTCTGTAAAATGTCTTATGCGAGAAATGGTGGTGGAAACCCCTTTATGTGCAAATATTGATATAATAACCATCATATTGAAGTAAACTTGGAGTCACGCGATGATATTGTGTGGTCCTCCCACTACGACTCGGAAATGCATGCAGTTTATTAGGCTACAGATGAAATAAGATACGATGAACTTCACAGGGTGGTGAAAGTTCATGGTGATGAGCTTGATGCTTCTTTCCAATAAAAATGTAAGGTCTTATTCTAGTGATATCATGATCGATGCTTGGCTGTCGTTTGACAACTAAAAATAATCTTGCTCTTATCCATAATAATCTCATCATGCAGTATCTTGTATGTCTGTAAGTTAACAATGAAGTACGGTACGGCGGAAATGTATGCAGGAGGGATTTATAAACAAAAAGAGCGCAATGCATCGACCTACCAGACTTCAAAGAGGGCCAGCCTACTTTCATATACAGAATGCAGTGATGTGTACTGAACCAATCGCCCGTAATAAAGCGAAGTGCGCTATGATAAACTGCATCCAATGGCTTCAATACAGTGGCACCTGCATTCATATAGACAATATAGCCATAGTCTATAATTGGTACGAAAGTCGACTGAATAATTTGTTTTCTGCCATTTAATGAAAGGCTATAGGCCTACCTCAATCTGATATGATCCTCATACAGCATGTTAATAGTTGTCCACCGGTATAGTACAGTAGAAAGGCTGTGCCCAAAGCCAGACATATAGGGAGGCTTTTCTCTAACGATGGAGAGTTAGTGTCAGATTTAGACCTCTCCATTGCGTTCACCTTAGTGGCGCATTTGAGAGCCATTTCATTTCTTTAAGAAGACTATTGGATTGGCTGCCAGGAACTGAATGCAGTGAATCTTAGTGTGTGTACACCAAATGTATTCTATGCAACCTATTTCTTCTCTTCACTGATATGGTATGATTGGGGCCCTGTGTTTTGGGCAATCAAGTCACATAATAAGATTGTATCTGGTATTGTAAGCCTTGAGATGAGAATTACAACCAAAAATTTAAGCAATTGTCAAAGGGGACAATTTGATGAAAAAGTTGTAAATAAAATCCAGGCACATCACTTGATTGCGCAAAAGACAGGACCCTAGGTAGGGTACAGACTGAGACAGGCAACGATAGTTAGATACTACTGCACTGTTGGAGCTAGGAACACAAGCATTTCGCTACACCCGCAATAACTTCTGCTAAATATGTGTATGTGACCAATACAACTTGATAGGCTGCCAAATAGACATCATCGGAAGTCTGGCAGGTTAGATACACCAGTGACTGTAACCTGACTGACCTGCATTGCAGTGGCCTTAGAACTGGCAGACATACCTTCTCCTAGGTCCTACTATTGGAATAAATTACTGGCAACTGCATTCATAAATACAGCACACACAAAGGTGGCATATAGGATGACAATTTATAGAAAGGGTTAAAGAAGTCAAGACCGAATTGGTGTGCTGTGTCAGATGGCCCGATGTGTGAGTAGGCATTTAAAAAAGGCTAAATAACAATAAAATGTATGCATGCAGAGTAACAGCCTGCCTTTGGGATTTTAGCTAGCCTTCACGGCACAGGCCCAAGAGTCGTGACCTGCTTCTAGGTTGTTTACATACACTTGAAGGGAATAATTTAGCTGGTTTGTGGCACAGTGGTAAGTCACTTACTAAGTGTACAGGGTGTGCACAAATCATTCAAAGATGGTTAGTTAGCTATTTAGCATCAGAGCCACTGCCCAAATGACAGATTGCCATTATCTGCATATTTCAAGGCTTAGATTAGCTGACTACCTAGCTAATTAGAAGGCGCAATGCTAGCTAGCTGGTTAAACTTAGACTGTCTGCAGAAGCATGTATGAAGATGTAGCTAGCTTCTAGCTAGTTATTTTAATGACAAATGTTTAATATGGCATGCTTAGAGGATGTCCCTTGAATGTCCATTGTCACATAATGACATATTGTAGCATTATATAGCTAACTACATGCCATGGCCTGGTGCCAATGAGTCATCTCTAATGGTAAACAACTCTGTGATAATACCCAGAGACTTTGAGTTAGCATGCTATTAGCATGCGGAGTGATGATAAGCTAGCTAAAGTTAGCTTTATTGACATCGTTCTTGCTGAAGCATTCTTACCCAAACATGCCTCCCAGGAACGAGCCAGACGTTTTCACTTTCTTGTCAGCGTCAGCCATCAGCTGAATCGCTTCCTTTTCTTTCCCAGAGTTGTCCATTCTCTGATTATAACCGCGCAAATACTAACGTTAACTTGCAGTCAGAAAGAGAGTACCCGCATCGGATTCTAGTAATGAAGGATTACCGTCGATGATTTTATTTAGCGTATGCGTGCCCTTGCAGTAGACAAGAGAATCATGGGACTTTGAGTTTCCGTCTAGGCAAAAAAGAAAATACCTTATGTGCAGTTGAACTACAACTCCCATCTGAAAAACAAATACATTATAGCCCCTGTTACGTAATGTTTCACACACTTTAGTTAGGTCATGTTGAAAATATACTCATGCTTTGACACCTTTCTGATCTTAGAACAAAACAAATTCTGGGAAGCAAAATAGCTCCTATCATCGCAATGAGAAATAAATAAAAATATTTTGAGTCTGTTTACATCATTGAGCACCTGATGGCGCTTAACCCACGGCTAAAACCCTAGACCACATACAAACCACCCCAGTAAAGATGTGATGGGCATGCATATAACTAAAGTGAAATACAGGCACCCCATTCCCTCCATCTGCATTCTTTCAAACATTTTAATTTACATTTTCCATACATCACAGACAAAAACAACACAAAGCATTGCACTCCACACTGCCCTCTCCCACCTGAATAAGAGGAACACCTATGTGAGAATGTTGTTCATTGACTACAGCTCATCGCTAAGCTCAGGACCCTGGGACTGAACACCTCCCTCTGCAACTGGATCCTGGACTTCCTGACGGGACGCCCCCAGGTGGTGAGGATAGACATTAACACATCCGCCACGCTGACCATCAACACAGGGACCCCTCAGGTGTGCGTGCTTAGTCCCCTCCTGTACTCCCTGTTCACCCACGACTGCGTGGCTGCGCACGACACCAACACAATCATTAAGTTTGCTGACGAGGACGACAATGGTAAGCCTGATCACCGACAACGATGAGACAGCCCGTAGGGAGGTCAGTGACCTGGCAGTGTGGTGCCAAGACAACAAACTTTCCCTCAGTCAGCAAGACAAAGGAGCCGATTGTGGACTACAGGAAACGGAGGGCCGAGCATGCCCCCGCAATGGAGCGGGTCGTGAGCTTCAAGTTCCTCAGTGCACACACTCAGTGCACACAGCAGAGAAAGGGAAGAAAAGAAGCCAAATTAGACACCCAGGATTTGCTCAAATGTATGCCTCCGATTGCGTGTTACTCTGGGAATGTCAGAATAAAGTTGACATGATAATAATAGTTCCAACTGGGCTTGTGTGGTGACATAACTGCTCTACCCTGTCCACTAGACTAGTACAGCTCCTGGAAACAGCACTTCAGTGGCAACACAAAAACAAGGCGACTTGCTAAGGCAGAGGGAGTCAGTCAAAGTACACCAAAGACAAAGTGACAGTTGGTGAGAATGTTTAAGGCAAAACTAAAAAGGTCTCTAGTGGTTGTAAATTCATAAAATCCCAACATTATTTCTCTAATAAAAATCACTCATCATACTGTGCTCTACTCTTAAATACTAGTACCTACCGGTATGTCCGTCGCAATGTATAAAAGACTGAAACTCCTACAAAAGAAGTATGTTTTTAAATATTTTTATTCATTTATTTAATCCCAGTTAGCATAGTTTTGTCCAGACAGCGTATCAAGGGTGTGACATGAGTGACCCTCAATTCCAGTCACCCAGTCCACCACAGCACTCTGAAGGGCATGCATTATGACTCCAAAAGTAGTCCATACATACAGTACGAGTCTCAAAAGTTTTTTTAACCTTTACTTACAGAACTTAGACAGACGGACAGTGCTTACTTCTATGTTTTCAGGGAATGGTTTACATGTCATATCATCATGGTACACAATTTAGGAAAGATACAGTTACATCTTCAATGTGCATTTAAACAAAAAAAATAAGATTGTACAACAAAATACATCCAGTAGGAAAAATGTGTGCCAATGTAGCAGGGAAACTGTGCCATGTGAAACAATCTTGGTCTTCTATTGCATTAAGTGATCAGAGCGAGGTATGAAGAGATTCAAACAAGTGGCAGTCAGACTAGTTAATTCATACAACTTCCCCATCAAGGCTTTCTGATGATGTGTAGCAAGCAGAGCTCCTATGAAAACCCTTCCCTTCAAATGAGCTAGGGAGTGAGTTATGTAGATTAGATCTAGCCATTACAAAGGGCTATCTATATAACCCTCCCTAATGGTGAACATTGAGCTCACACTCACCCATACATTTTAAGGTTATGCTGAAAGCAAAAACAAACTATGTGTATTCAACAGGTCATTAAAGCAATATGAAATGAATCTGTTTGGATTTAGGCACCCATAACAACACTTCATAATCTGGTCATCCAATAATGACACTTAATTAACAGCATAGCTCAGGGCAGTCCTAACACAAATCAGATTGCATGAGTTTGAGTTCAAATGCACCATTGAATAAATAAATGTAAACAAAAAAATTATAAAGGAAATCACCTGAGCGAGAGAGTTCGTCACTGTCCCAAATGATCTTGTTCTATTGAAAATCTATTATGAATTGTAGCCACTGCCATTCAAAATTATATTAGTAATGTGACAAAAATAACACTGCTATTGTCAAATGCTGGCTTATTTCATATGCGGACAACCATAATGCAGATGCAAAAATGAAAGAATCTAGTGTTGCAAATCATTAGCCACATAAAACTACATATACTTACATTAAACCAGCAAGCTGAAGTCAAGCTGAAGGCAAACTGTGGGCTGTTATCAGTCATGAACTGTAATACGTGTACACAGTTACCACCAATAAGAAAAGCTACATCTGGAAAAGCTAATATACAGTATAGTTTAACTCTGATTTGTATTTAGCAAATCAGCATAATAAAATAGAAACCTCAAAATAAATTCCTTGAGTATGCATTCATTTCTAAGTGAAGACATATGAATGTGAATTCCTCTATAATTGTGACTGAGGTGCATATCCCAGTCAATTCAACTGAAGTCCTAATAACAAATACCAGATGCCTCGTTTGGCAAAACACCCTCCTCCTTACAGTTTAAACAAACAGCTGCAAGAACACACATCTGGACACAGCTTGTGTATTGCTTCAGTGGACATCAGTTCAGGAAGGGTTGTCACTATCTGGCCATGCTAGAAAGGACAGAATAACTTTTTAAATCACCAATGTGTTTCCAATCACAAAACCTAATCCCTAACGTAGGAGCAACACCGGACGAGTAATGTTCGCAGAGCGTGTTACGCTTCTATTAATTTAAATGAAACCAGGCGTAAGCGCAGCAGTTATGTGTGAGGCTTGGTTCCATTTTCAAGATTGTTCTCCAGTGTGAGCTGCAATTGGATAAAGTGGCTCACGTTGGCAAAAAAAAAAAAGTTACTCTTCCAGTGTAGCAGGTAAAAAAAAATAAAAAATGGGACTGTTTTCATGGCATCTAGTGTAGCTCCTATGTAACTCACACTAAATAAATAAAAAACTAATAGTGTACACTTGCTCATCAAGTCTGCCTATATTCATTGCCGCGTCGGTCCTCTCTAGCATGTCTATCTAGTGACTACCCTCCCAGTCTGTCCTCTCTAGCATGTCTATCTAGAGACAACCTTCGGAGGCAGATAGTTGTTCAGGAGGAGCTGAGGCCTGAGTCGGACTCTGTACTGTGCACCTTGGAGGAGGTGGAGGAGGCGCAGACAGGCGCCTGGCAGGGGATGGAGTAGCAGGAGCACACAAAGCTCTTGAGAGTCTCCTGCAGCGTGTGCTGCGCCTCTACTTTGAAGATGTCGGGCTGGTCAACCTGGTCGTCACAGATCCTGTAGAGAAAGACAGAAAGGAGCACAAAAGAGGAGAAAGGCGGACAAAACAAACATCTGTTATAGGAGCCAAAGATAAAGTCAAGACAGAACTACTGCCGCAGGTTCTATTCCAATAGATACAGCTGGAAGAAATACTGACCTCCGAAAACCAGGAATGCACTGAATGGTTTAATCCAAACATGTAGGCCATAGTTCAACTGTGTGTCATTTCCGTAAAAGATAGTGCTGAGGCAGTAGAAAACCAGTTCTTTCTGAGGTCAGGTCACATGACATGTCCGTTCATTGAATGAAGCCCCTCTCTGACCCAGCAATCTCTACTTTACAGAATGTAACAAACTAATTTATTTTCTTCTGATTTCATAGTTCCTAATTAAACAACTATTACTTTCATTAGCTACAGTGGCTGAACTCCAAGTAATTCAATAATAGCCTACTGTTTGGTTTTAGGTTATGTAACCTCATATGATGATACATTGATTGATTGTGTTTAAGCTACACTGACTGAAGCGCTGATGTGTGTGTGTGTCAGTGAGATTGTGAGTAATAAAACAATGCTGACAGATGTCCAATCAAGAACTTTGAGCAACAGTATGAGAGACAGCGTAATTTACAGGCTGTTGATAGGTGTGATAAGAATAAACAGAACTCAAAAAGGTGCTCACAAAGACACTTGTGTACATGTCCTGTGTGGCTCAGTTGGTAGAGCATGGGGCTTGCAACGCCAGGGTTGGGGGTTCGATTCCCACAGGGGACCAGCACGAAAATGTATGCACTCACTACTGTAAGTCACTCTGGATAAGAGCGTCTGCTAAATGACAAAAATGTAAATAACTACTACATGAGAACAGGGTGTACCTGCCTGAGGGACTGAAACTGTTGAGTCCAAACAAAACATGTTATTACAGCTAACCTTTGGCTAGGCCTCTTAGGAACTAAAAACAGCATATGGATCAAGATGTTTGATAACACAATAGGCTAAAATTACCTTTTGAATAGATTGCTGCTACTGTTGTTATACAGAATGGGCTGGTTTCCATTAAAACCTAGTCCTGGACTTAAAAAAACAAGAGCAAATCTCTATTGAAAGTGCTTTTTATTCTAGGAGTAGACTTAATCTGTGTCCGGGAAACCGCCCCTATATGAGCCAAACGGATTGACCTGTTCAGCCTGATGTTTACCTGTCATAGATGAGTCCGTCGATGCCCTGCTCCCGTAGTGTGGTCCTGTTGTCGTGGTAGTTGTTGAGGTCTCCCCAGCAGAACACCACCAGGCCTTTAGACTGGGCCTCTCGGATGTGTTCCAGGTTCTGAAGCAGCTCCTCTGTGTGGGCACTGATACCCTAGACAGACAGACAGACAGACGTCAGAGTATCGACTGATCCCCTTCACTGATCACCTACATTAGCACAGAGACTTAGCCAATTAACAATCGAAAGCTATTTCCCAGTTCCACTACTCACCAGGATGTTTTCGCTCTGTGCGAAGCTCATGGCGATCTGTGTGGTCTGACAGCGGATGTCCATGAGCTCAGGATAGGTCTCAGAGATTCCTTGGGTCAGGAACAGGATAGGGTACTTGTTCTGCTTCTGACGAACCCTAGGGGAGAATACAACATTTATGGTTACACTTACGCTTCACTGCAGCACCCCCCTTATATATGCATTCATAAAACAGCTACACATTCGTCATAGGCAGTCAAACATTCAAATTACAGTGCCTTGCAAAAGTATTCATCCCTCTTGGCGTTTTTCCTATTTTGTTGCATTACAACCTGTAATTTAAAATGGATTTGTATTTCATGAAATGGACACACAAATTATTGCAAATTGGTGAAGTGAAATGAAAAAAAGTACTCGTTTCAAAAAAACAACAACGGAAAAGTGGTGCGTGTATGTATTCACCCCATTTGCAATGAAGCCCCTAAATAAGATCTGGTGCAACCAGTTACCTTCAGAAGTCACATAATGTGTGTGTGTGTAATATATACAGTGGGGGAAAAAAGTATTTAGTCAGCCACCAATTGTGCAAGTTCTCCCACTTAAAGATGAGAGAGGCCTGTAATGTTCATCATAGGTACACGTCAACTATGACAGACAAATTGAGAAAAAAAAAACCAAGAAAATCACATTGTAGGATTTTTAATGAATTGATTTGCAAATGATGGTGGAAAATAAGTATTTGGTCACCTACAAACAAGCAAGATGTCTGGCTCTCACAGACCTGTAACTTCTTCTTTAAGAGGCTCCTCTGTCCTCCACTCGTTACCTGTATTAATGGCACCTGTTTGAACTTATCAGTATATAAAAGACACCTGTCCACAACCTCAAACAGTCACACTCCAAACTCCACTATGGCCAAGACCAAAGAGCTGTCAAAGGACACCAGAAACAAAATTGTAGACCTGCACCAGGCTGGGAAGACTGAATCTGCAATAGGTAAGCAGCTTGGTTTGAAGAAATCAACTGTGGGAGCAATTATTAGGAAATGGAAGACATACAAGACCACTGATAATCTCCCTCGATCTGGGGCTCCACGCAAGAGCTCACCCCGTGGGGTCAAAATGATCACAAGAACGGTGAGCAAAAATCCCAGAACCACACGGGGGGACCTAGTGAATGATCTGCAGAGAGCTGGGACCAAAGTAACAAAGCCTACCATCAGTAACACACTACGCCGCCAGGGACTCAAATCCTGCAGTACCAGACGTGTCCCCCTGCTTAAGCCAGTACATGTCCAGGCCCGTCTGAAGTTTGCTAGAGTGCATTTGGATGATCCAGAAGAGGATTGGGAGAATGTCATATGGTCAGATGACACAAAAATAGAACTTTCTGGTAAAAACTCAACTCGTTGTGTTTGGAGGACAAAGAATGCTGAGTTGCATCCAAAGAACACCATACCTACTGTGAAGCATGGGGGTGGAAACATCATGCTTTGGGGAAAGTTTTTCTGCAAAGGGACCAGGACGACTGATCCGTGTAAAGGAAAGAAAGGGGCCATGTATCGTGAGATTTTGAGTGAAAACCTCCTTCCATCAGCAAGGGCATTGAAGATGAAACGTGGCTGGGTCTTTCAGCATGACAATGATCCCAAACACACCGCCCGGGCAACGAAGGAGTGGCTTCGTAAGAAGCATTTCAAGGTCTTTGGAGGGAGTTGAAAGTCCGTGTTGCCCAGCGACAGCCCCAAAACATCACTGCTCTAGAGGAGATCTGCATGGAGGAATGGGCCAAAATACCAGCAACAGTGTGTGAAAACCTTGTGAAGACTTACAGAAAACGTTTGACTTGTGTCAAAGGGTATATAACAAAGTATTGAGAAACTTTTGTTATTGACCAAATACTTATTTTCCACCATAATTTGCAAATAAATTCATTAAAAATCCTACAATGTGATTTTCTGGAAAAATTTCTCATTTTGTCTGTCATAGTTGACGTGTACCTATGATGAAAATTACAGGCCTCTCTCATCTTTTTAAGTGGGAGAACTTGCACATGGTGGCTGACTAAAAACTTTTTTCCCCACTGTATGTATGTGTAATATATATATATATACACACACACGTTCTGAAAGGCCCCAGAGTCTGCAACACCACTAAGCAAGGGGCACCACCAAGCAAGCGGCTCCATGAAGACCAAGGAGCTCTCCAAACAGGTCAGGGACAAAGTTGTAGAGAAGTAAAAAAAAAGGTGGTTGTCCCACTGGCTATCATAAGTTGAATGCACCAATTTGTAAGTCGCTCTGGATAAGAGCGTCTGCTAAATGATGTAAATGTAAAAGTACAGATCAGGGTTGGATTATAAAAAAAAAAATCAGAAACTTTGAACATCCCACGGAGCACCATTAAATCCATTATTTAAAAAATGGAAAGAATATGGCACCACAACAAACCTGCCAAGAGAGGGCCACCCACCAAAACTCACAGACCAGGCAAGGAGGGCATTAATCAGAGGCAACAGAGACCAAAGATAACCCTGAAGGAGCTGCAAAGCTCCACAGCAGAGATTGGAGTATCTGTCCATAGGACCACTTTAAGCCATACACTCCACAGAGCTGGGCTTTACGGAAGAGTGGCCAGAAAAAAAGCCATTGCTTAAAGAAAAAAATAAGCAAACACGTTTGGTGTTCGCCAAAAGGCATGTGGGAGACTCCCCAAACATATGGAAGAAGGTACTCTGGTCAGATGAGACTAAAACTGAGCTTTTTGGCCATCAAGGAAAACGCTATGTCTGGCGCAAACCTAACACCTCTCATCACCCCAAAAACACCATCCCCACAGTGAAGCATGGTGGTGGCAGCATCGTGCTGTGGGGATGTTTTTCATTGGCAGGGACTGGGAAACTGGTCAGAATTGAAGGAATGATAGATGGCGCTAAATACAGGGAAATTCTTGAGGGAAACCTGTTTCAGTCTTCCAGAGATTTGAGACTGGGATGGAGGTTCACCTTCCAGCAGGACAATGACCCAATGAAACATTTAAATGTCTTGGAATGGCCTAGTCAAAGGCCAGACCTCAATCCAATTGAGAATCTGTGGTATGACTTAAAGATTGCTGTACACCAGTGGAACCCATCCAACTTGAAGGAGCTGGAGCAGTTTTGCCTTGAAGAATGGGCAAAAATTCCAGTGGCTAGATGTGCCAAGCTTATAGGAGACATACCAAGAGACTTGCAGCTGTAATTGCTGCAAATGGTGGCTCTACAAAGTATTGACTTTGTAGAGCTCAAGTTCTGTTTGTCTTATTTCTTGTTTGTTTCACATTGCATCTTCAAAGTGGTAGGCATGTTGTGTAAATCAAAATGATACAAACCCCCCAAAAATCAATTTTAATTCCAGGTTGTAAGGCAACAGAATATGAAAAATGCCAACGGGGGTGAATACTTTTGCAAGCCACTGTACAACTGTGCAAACTAGGCTTCAGTTCAGCAGGCTAACACAGTCTTCAGTCTCACCAATGACTGTTGGATAACGAAGGTAGTGTTAGGTAAATGTATTTGTTCTAGAATATAAATCGAAATCAATAAATCATAGCAAGTTTTTGGTCTCATTCAGTAATTTACCTGATGAAGTACAATCCTGTTAAATTTATTTTGTTTAAGTACTATTTATATTCCTAAAACAAGTTGAAAATGATACTGTTGCTGCTTCCGGTTGTCTTGGATTTTTGCCCAGTGTCAAAACAATATGCTGAAAGAGTTAGTTATATTTAAGACCTAAACATAAAAACACACGTGTAGAGTATCACACGTGTTCAGGTAACTTGTATTTTGCTAAATTAGTACCCTAAACTGCACACGCAGAAACATTTTACAAGCGTCCACTCGAGCTAAAATTGATTAGCTTGTTCTAACTGTAATCAATAGTGCCAGCCTGCGACTTTTATACAGAGAGCTCCGCAAATTTTCCATGCCATTTTAGTTTCTAACTGCACATTCTACCTGGATTCCTGAATCAAGACGTCCTATTTTTTGCAACCATGAATTTGTTAAACAGTAAAGTGCATTATCCTCATGATTCCTGTAATAAAAAAGTGAGCCTCTTCCAACCCCCCCCGCCCTTTGGCAGCAACTAGTTTTCCGTATAGAGGGTCTCCACTTTCTTTATTTGAGCCCTATTTTGACAGTAAAATAAAAAAAAATTAATGGCCTTGCCGTCAAAATACAAAAAAATATTTTGAATCATGCATTCCTGCTTGGACATGTTCGATGTAACAACTTACTTACTGAATACCATCTCAGTAGTCTATTACACTTGTTAATAAAGCATTGTGAATTACTTTAACAAAAAAAATTGGGGGGTGCCACCAACTGAAAGTCAGTGGCACCAGTGGAGCCCTGCAGACACTTGTAGAATCTATGCCAATGCGCATTGAAGCTGTTGTGATGGGTTGCCAAACACCCTATTAAGACACTGTTGGTGTTCCCTTTTATTTTGGAATTTACCTGTATGTTGCCCACTCTCACTACTTTAACCATTTAGATTAACCTTTTATCTCAATGACAATTTAACCGGGCATTCAAGACTAGAGCTTCCATAGTGACTGTGCAGCAGGCTGAAAGTCCGACGCCCCTAGTAGTGCTTACATGGTGCAGACGTCAGGGTCGAAGCAGGAGAAGACGATGCGTCTCTTGCCGGCTCTCTGCAGCGCACAGCTCAGTATGATGTCCAGGAACAGGTTCATGTTGAAGTAGGAAGACAGGTTTCCTTCCCACGAACCATCCTGTTGAAGACAATACCACAACATTCCAATGTGAGAAGGGTTGTTACCATCTGATCATGTTAGGAATGACAGATTACAAAGCTTTCCTGTTTGACTTGAACCACAAGGCCCCTACCCTAAAAGAACAAATAGCAGTCTGAGATCGCAATTCGTTTAGACAAATTTGTCAAAGTCATCGCATATTGCCTTGTAAAAATGTCAGAATTGCTGCAGCAAAATCAAGCAATTTTGTCTGCAAATATCACAAATTCCCTGTGAAATCCAGGAGGTACTGAAATAGGTCATAGGTCGGTTCAGACAATACAGTTACTTTTGCACTTTCTAGAATGGCCATCTAATGACTTCATCTTCTCATTACCAGTATCACTGACTGGCTGTACATACCTTCATCTGACAAATCCACTTCAGTTCGATGTTGAACCCCACATTTTCAGGCACTGCATGGAAGATCTGGAACATGACATGAAATAGGGAAGCAGTTATAATTGGACACAGAACCTCAAGGGTGGGCTAGGTTAGTTCACACTTTTGGTAACCTCGAAAGCAGTGACGCCGACTAGGAGGGTATTTACCTGTGAGAATGAAGGGAAGGGTTGATGCTCGTCAACCTCTTCCTCATCGTCGTCATCTAAGAAACAAAGCCATCACACACATAAGCCAATACAAAGCACCTGCTGGGTTGGTTCACGTTCAACTGCTTTAAACAATGATGCAAGCAGAGGACATAGGTTTGTTCTTCACAATACCAATTGGAATTATTGCCAATTAAACTTTGAAAACTATGGCTTTGCACAAGTAGGAGGACAAGAGCACTGTTTGCAATAACGATAAATAATATATGTGGTGGGTATTGCAGTGAATGAAATGGAAGAAAATATACTATACCTTTGTGGTCGTTCACCTTCAAGGCTGAAGCATGACCCAGCTGTGGAGCAAACACAAAACCAAGTCATCTTTCACACCATGGCCTATTCCTAAATAGTGACAAACCATAGCCTACATAAGACTAAAACCAAATCAAGACATCCACATACTGTCTTCAAAGGACTCTTCATATTAACATAGTTCAACAACTGGATTCTGAGCATATTCACTAGTAAAGGAGAAGCCAGCAGAGCTTTTACCTTGAGCTGTTGTAGCTGGTCGTATGTGAGATCTTTGACAGGAACTTCAAACAGCTCCAGAGAGTGCTTGTCTCCTTTCTGACAGGTGGAAGAGAGGAAAAAGAAAAGCAAGGATGCAGTATTTTTTTTTAAGTACAACAAAATATAAAATAATCAAAGCTCGAATAATGAGTTAGTTATTTGAATGAGCTGTGTAGTGCTAGGGCAAAAACCAAAACGTGCACCGGGGGGGGAGGGGGCAGGACAGAGTTTGGGAAACCCTGCTGTACAGGGTGCATCAAATGGTATTGTTGAAACAGAAAACAAACTGGATTTGTTCTGTTGTCGTTGAGGTTTACCTTCTTAGTGGAGATGCAACAGGTGAGATCGTGGTACACAATGGGGACACAGTCCTTGGAGAGATGGACGTCAAACTCCACATAGGCAGCCCCCTGCAGAAACATACAACACACATGCAGTCAACTCTGATGCGACAACAGATTAGAGACATTTAGAGGGTCAAGAGGAAAATGGGTTTCTTTTTCAGTTTCTTTTTCCTCCATGTGGGAATACTCACATGATTGGCAGCACTTTTGAACGAAGCAATGGTGTTCTCCCTGACTTTAGTATGTCTGACAAACAAAACCAGAAATGTTTAGGCCAAAACCAAAGACATACAAATCACAATGTACAGTATAACACAGATACAAATTTAATTTTGTTGAATATGAAGTGTATGGTCAGACTACTAGTTAATGACCTGCACGCTAACAACACAACTCCTGGATGAGATTCAGAGGCACCTTTTTCCCAGTACAGTGACATAAAAACGGAAAGAACGTCTTTGTTGTTCGTTGACTTCCTCTGTTGATGTCCTAACCTTCACTGCAACTTTGAAGCCATACCGGACAGAACAATTCCATTCAAACATTCAATAAACTAAGTATGAAAGGGTCTTTGTGTTCTTAGGAACTTGGCCCTTCCTAGAGTCCTGCTTCAACACACGCACAAAGACCATTTAAGAATTCCTCTTAGGTACATCCACACCTAATAATCTATTATGTAATGCTTGTGTGTGTGTGTGTGTGTGTGTGTCTCACTTGGCTGCGTGTGTGCTGCCGGCCCCCCTGTGGCCTACGTCCAGGGGTACACTCCTCTTCCTCCAGTACTTGGTGAAGGAGGAGCTCATGTCACACTGTAGTCCCTCGATAGGACGGATCACCAGGTAGTCCACTGGAATAGAAAAATACATTGTTTTAAAAAAGGTGAATTGTACTCATTTACTTTAATCTAAGCTTTTTATTTTTTTTACCAGGGAAACATCTTAGCTAACACTCTGGCCCCAAGTCAGCCAACCCTTTATTTATATTCTAGTTCCTGTTTTGACCGTTTTCCCATGCTGTTTGACAGTTACATGCTAAGGGGAAAGTTGATTGTTCACATCGGAAAATCGTCTGCTGGAGGAACTATATGTGCTGACTTCCAGTACTCTAGTTCCACTTCTGGTAAAAATTCAAAGACCTGTCAGCCAATACAGGCTGCATCTTAGTGCTAGAGGATGTACTAAACATAATCAGTCACTCTTAGGGAAATATAGAAGTTCAATAAGTCCCGTATCCTAACCAAGTTTTGTGGAAATCCCCCATTGATATCAATACCTGATTTACAAAGAAGTTAGAGTTACATGGGTGGATCTCAAGCAACTTAATTGAAATTATTTTCTATGCTTTTACCAGACTACTTGTTGCCGGAGGGGGTAGGGTTGCTCACCTCTGACTTTGCCCAGGGTCTGTCTGGAGTTGCGTTTCATGATGGGCAGAGTGACCACACCTGTGTCCTTGCCACTCTCCACGAAGAATGAGGAGAGGAGGCAGGCCGTACCCACCGTCCCCGGGTGGGCATCCCCTGGCATCACATGCTCACCCATATCCTCCTGTAGAGGGGAGGAAAGGGTTAATAAACTCACTATTGTACACATCCAGGGCCTGACACTCACTTTTTGGTACAATAGTGGTTTGGGAGTACACCTACAAATCAAAACATATTGGTTGTTTACACAGATTTGCAAATATTATCGCAGGTGCAACGAAATACTTGTGTTTCGAGCTCCAACAGTGCAGTAATAATAATACCTACACATAATCCAAAAAGTCAAAATAAATCAATAAAGAAACATCAGAACGAGCGATAGATCTACATTTTTTAAATGTTATTTGTAAACTCTGGTTCCCTTTATCTAATATTAGGTTTTGGTTGAGATCTGATAACATTCAGCATCAAAAATAGAGAAAATCAGAAAGGTGGCAAATACTTTCACGGTACTGTAAATGCTACTGCTCAACAAAAAATGTTATACAATCTCGGTCGACCAAACAATCGACTAATTGGGGTCAGCCCAAATATATATATATATATATATATATATATATATATATATATATATATATATATATATATATATATATATATATATATATATATATATATATATATATATATATAAACAGTATGTAAACATTACAACACGAAGCAGTTGTTTCCATAGTGTTCATAATAATCAACTGCCGAATATATTGATCCTGCTGTGAACTGTACCTCAAAGAAGTCGAAGGTGAGTTCCAGGTTGTCGGGATCCATGGTGTGGATGATGTACTCGGTCCACTGTGAGGCCTCCAGGGCGTAGCCACACTCAGGCTGGGAGTGGCGGGACTTGTACCCATCTCCACTGATCATACTGATCTCCAGCGTGGTGGTCATCTTGTGCCGCGACGCTGCACTCTGCTCTGGCTCTTCATCGTCATCCTCCTCCTCCTCTACACCCTCAAGCGTCAGCTTGATCCTGGGGTCAGAGGGGAAAGGTCACACAGGTCAAGAGAGGTCAAAAGGGGGAGAGGACCTGAAAAAGCCTAACTAGTAAGTCATGACAATGACCAGATAAGACTAGTGTTTTTACAGCAGCATATTTCATCCATAAAGCTGTAGCTATTTATCTTAAGAGCAATATTTGGTTTGATTCCATAAGTTATTTTGGGATCAATTCTATGGGCATTTACAGAAATTCTGTCCCCACAGATTCCCTCTGACCCAAGCCACAGCCTGTTTGATATCTCTCAGGCAGCAAACTGTGTTGAATAGGAGCCACGTCTCTTGCTCTCACCTGAAGCGAGACTTCTTGTATTTCTTCTTGGTGATGGATACGGGAGACGTCTTAGAGAAGTGCAGACGTAGACGGATCTCTGTCTGGCACGTCAGCCACCCAGAGTCCATACACTCTGAGCCGTCTGCAAAGAGGAGTTGCAGGGAAACATGTGGTAAGCATTCTGGCACAAAATGGCTGCCGTTGTATCACCAAGGTGAGTAACAGTACAGATTGGTGGTGGATGAGGTTAGCTATCCGCAAACAATGCAAAGCACTTTGAGTTTAAGAAAAGAGCTATGGGAATAAAAGTAATTGTTCAAACACACTGAGTCAACTGTAGGATGGTGAGACTCAGTCAAATTCATGTCAGTCAGTATGTTCTACTACCAGATAACTAACCTCAAATCTTAGCAGTCTAATGGGGAAGTGTTTTACATGTAATCTGTTGAGAGTTAAGTTCCACCAGAGGATTGACTCATACATCAGGTACTTAGTATAGGCTCCTACAGTATGTGCTTTAAGTACTTAGTGATTAGCAGTTTATGAGCCATTAGTTAATCTTCATCTTGTAATAGGGCCCGATCCCGACATAGGAATTTATGACTTTCCTACGCACTTCTCAGTATTTGGTATTCAGACTTACCTTATTTAGTCACATAACACGCTCCGCAGGTGTGGCTACCTTGCGCACTCTGAATACATTTCATTCAACCGCTGAAAACCCTCCCACTTGCAGGCCAACAGATTCTCATGGAGTTTTCATTCAATGGGGTTTTCAGTACATTTATCTTAAGCCATCCCTTTAAATACGGTGCACCTTTAATTTAGAATTTTGTCATCACACTCAATAGAAAACGTCGAGAGAACGGGTTCAGAATATTGGGATTAATGAAAGAAATCCATAATGCATATTCATCTCCATTTCAGCACCAACTGGTAGATGTTTTTGTTGTTGTGGAAATCCACTGATTTTGTAGATTATTTATGCACATTTTTGGGTTAGGAGCGCATGTATGAATCATAAAAATAAGTTATCCAAACCGTTACGCACGTAATACTGTATTTTGATGAGAAAAAAAAAACAGTGGTTTGATTCATCCTGAAAGTTGTCCTATTCAAGTTCAATCCATTAAATATTGGAAGGTGGAAAAAGTATATAATAGGGGTTGAACAATAATCCTATAAATCTACCCTAATTCTCTCTAATCATGGACCTGTATGACAGAGGTCCAGTCCGTTCAAACACTCCGTGAACCGTGCGCCAGGATCCAGGTTTAACTTGCTACGTGTGGTCTGAGTTCCATAATGATTCAAATAGGCTACATGTCCTAAATTATTGCACAACGTTAGCCTAATATGATCCACTAATACTAGTGACCCTCAGGAACAATTTACAAGGAAGTGACAGAGGAAATAAAAAGGTCAACGGAATTGAATGATGCAAAAACACAAATGTATGTGGGTATTACTGACGGTGGCACCAGATAGTGATACAAATTGTAAAATAAAACAGCCCGGGCATATAATCAAAACATTCTAGAGTGCATACATCAACTCGGCAGGTTCAGCCCTACAAAAAAAGCCTATAACTTGAGTCTCCAAATTGTATCCACACAAATTATAAGGGAACATAACTAGAATTCTGAATAACAGCACAGCTATTAATATCCTATTTCACCACGCAATACATGTAATGTTGATATGATTTTCAGTTCGCATCCATATGGCTGGAATTCAGTCTCGAAAGTGGTCTGTTCTTCGACCAATCTTCGAACAATATTCTAAAACAATTGCTATGTGCATTTACAATCCCCTTCTCCAAACAGATTACTAATTTACAGTGCATGTTGAATGGTGTTATTTCTATCGGAAAATAAATAAGTAGACGCTTTCCCCACTTGGTAGGTTCGCTCTACCTTATTCATGGTTTCCTTGCGAGTAAAGGTGGTGGAATTAAAGAATTAAGTCAAGGGTCAGTATATGACGCATCTTTAGACACCTCCGCACACCTTCATTTTTTTGAGCGCCACCTCAAACAAAGTGGGTGAATAGCATGCTATTCTCATGCTTAAGTTCAAGGTCAGAATACGAATAGAGAGAAAAGCGTATAAAAAGGAAATCATGTTTTACACGCGCTTAACTCTGGTCGGCTTCTGGGCCTTAGTGCATAACAAAGGACTACCCTGAGGTAGTTAACATGTGCAATGGGGTGATGCGGAGATGGCAATTCTATATTATGTATTTTCCATACAATAGCAAGACATATCAATGCTAATTTCCCAAAATGGATTAATCAAGACGTGATATATTTAGTTGACTTACTGTGGAATCCAAATTGGCCATCGTCAATATCAAGGTGTGATTCTGCAAGACAATAAACTGGCATAAGGCCTTTTTTTTTTATACAAACAAACCATTTCTATCATTTCAAGCATGTGACATAACATACCACACTTCCAACTTCAGTACAAAAAGGTTTTATGTTTTAAACATTATTGCCCAAAAAGTGTCAGGTGGAAGGATTTAGGGAAAAACTATGGTTTATTCAATTGTTTACTATTAAGCTTATTTTGAATGAGCTTTGTCTGAGTTTGAGAGGCCACATCCACTAGAGTTTCCTCCGCTCTAGAACATTCTAGTTACAACAATGTGGCCTCCAACCCACTTGCCTCAGCAAAGCATAGATAGTGTACATTCCCCAAACCAAGCAGGGCATCGTTCTGGTGTATATACCTGTGGGGCTCATCAGGCGTGGTTGCTGATGGGTCTCCCACTTAGTGACTATCACCTGACAGGGACCACCTGCACTCTGCAATGCCAATGTTTAGTACAGCATTAAGACTTTTCAAATACAGTCAATGTTCACTTTGGTCTCAAAGGTGTAGCCACCAATCAGCAAGCCACTATTGGTTGAAATCTGAAAAAGGATTCATTAGTCGGTAGGTGGAAGAACGTGAGCGTCAACTCTTCATCTATACTAAAGTATTTAGCCATCTTCTCGGAAAGATTAATGTTTTATTTTTGTACAAAGTTGATCTGCTACAGTATTGGCATTAATGGTTAGATCTGCCATTAATGGTGCAAAGTAAACAATGCCTTTAAATGACAAACTGTAAAAACACAATCGAAACTGAATGTGGTCATGGTTTTAGGTTTCTGACCACAGAGACGTAAAAAATGTGTTGTCATTACAGCTGGCCCATCTGAATGTGTGGGTTCCAACCATGAGTCAAGACTGTACGCTCTTTGACGAGTTAGTAATGCTGCTTGTCCTCTGGCAGTGGTTCAGAGCAGGCAGAGACAGCACAGTTCAAATGAGTTTGTTTTGCCTCGTTTCCACTCTGCATCACAGATGTGATAGTGTTGCTTCATATGCTGCTGTCTGTAGAACATATAACTCTCTAGCTGTTTCTCTCTGTAAGAGGAAAAGCTTTTTTGTTTTTATTGTGTAATTTGAACCTCCAAGTTGGACGTATAGAGAACGTTACATACTGACATTAATAATTGGAGTGGTGAAGAACATGCTGTGTGTGTTCCAACTTCCAAGTCTAGCCTAGTGCAGCATTAAATAACATGGGGGAAGAGGCTCACGTCACGTGCCCAAATCCAAGCTCAGTTATAGCCAGCTGGCAGAGCTCCAGGCATGGCTGCTCTCCTATCTGAGCATTATGGAAGAACTGAAGTGAGCTAGAGGGGATCAACACAGATGTGGGGAAAGTGAGCCAAATAACCCATGAATGATCTTAAAAACTGCTGTAGCGTTGCTAATCTAATGCTTTCTAATGTTCACCCAAATCATATACTTCCTCAGACTCATTTGGTCGCACTTGCATGACAGTGACTCCATAGAAGACTAACTGTGTATAAATTAAAACTCCCTGTAAACGGTTGTGTGAAATACTAGTATTAGTTCTGTGGTGGTACTTTTGATTACATTTCATAAAACAGATCAACAGATTAGCTGTGAAAACATCAGCAGCCTCCAGAACTGAAATGGGGATAGAAATGTTGATAACACCACATGCATTCGTCGCCATCATCAAAAGGAAGGTTTAACAGCACAACACAACACCTAGTCAAGCTCTAGCCTGCTGTTAACACAATACGGTCAATCATTTGTCAACTGTCACTCAATGGCCAACATGGATTACCACTAAAGCAACTACTTATGTAACTGGATTAAGGTACTAGAATTTGAATAGGCCAAACACAATCACATAGGTCATTTGTTTAATATGTCTGATTACTTCATATGCTGACAGCACATAAGATTATGAGCTCACCTTTGACTCCAGGAAGTGGCCTTTGAAGTAGCGATAGGTTGGCACAGCACCTCTGGGCACACTGATGGTCCTCTTCCACAATGTCCTGGGGAAGGTACATAATATTTAAACGTTAGTAATTTAGCAAACGCTCTTATCCAGAGTGACTTACAGTAGTGAGCGCACACATTTTCATACTTTCTTTCCATACTGGTCCACCGTGGGAATCGAACCCACAACCCTGGTGTTGCAAGCACCATGCTCTTACTAACTGAGCTACACAATATGTTGAATTACTTCAACACACAGAAATCATTCAGATCATAGCATATTCAAAAGATAAGTGATATTTACCCATCGTGTTCAACCAGTTGTAGGGTCACAGCTCTTTGATGGCACCAGTCCTCCTAAAGCTTCACAGCTACCAACCACGGCTATCACCTCACCTAGTCATACACCATATTATTACGTTCAATTAATGAGCCATAACTGCACACACACACACACACTCTCTCATTAGGCTCTAATGATGAAGTGCATTTCAGCTAAACTCTTGTGGACAGACTACGTAATCGAGCATCTGACCAAATAACTCAAGATTTTAGTTCCGGGATAGCTAATTGAGATTTGCTAAAAGCTGACATTCCTGACTGACTGTTTGGTTCGGTGTCAATCTTTCGGTCTAACGTTGTCTTGAATTGAATAGTCTTCTTGTTTCGGATTAGTCTGCTGCCCTGCAGTAGGGGTTGGTCTTACCTGGGGATGTGTCTCCCCTAACTGCCAAAGTCACTTGAGTTGTCTCCATAGTTGACACAGGCACAAACAAGGACAATTGCAGGCGCAATCAAGCTGGAAAACCAGGAACTTAATGGTAAAACAGGCATAGATTTAGGCATAGATTTAGTGGATCAACAAAGCCATTCTGGGTACTAGCTAGTCACATCTATGACTGAACCAGAATATGGCCTTGGATATTCAACGTATCCTGTAAAACCAGATTCTGGTTCAATCTATGACTAAAAAGTGACCACATCAACACAACCACTCGGGCTATCTAGTTAGCTACTAAGATAACAGATCAAAAGCTAGTATTACATCATCCCCAAGACTGATGTATCTATAGAGCCTGCCAGTTTGTAGTCCTAAAATCCGGGAAATGAGTTAGTTAGCCTCATGGCTTGTTGGTGCAGGGGAAATAAATGGGGGTTTCAGATAAACGCAGAAGATAAGGTCGAAGGTTAACACAGGTTTAGTAGATTTTATACTATGATATAATAACCAGTAAGTTCACATTACCTTTATGAATTATGAAGCCTTTATGTGCTTGTTTTGATTTCATAAATGGTTAAAAATGTGCTAATGATAATTATCTCAAAGAACAAAACGTATAAGATTTCCTAAACCTGTGTTTACCGCAGACCTTATTTTCAGCGTTTATACAAAAACCCATTAATTTCCCCATAGGCTTGACCAATATACAAATCATTGGCTTTGACCAACGTCGAGCCTTGGCAGAGTTAGTGAACACAAAAAGACGCCACTACTGTTACTATTGCTCTGTCCGGTTTCAATTCAGACCGCCCAATTCCGGATTTGTGAACAAAACAGACACTACTGTAGCCAGCCATGCAAACCAGCTGTTTACTGTAAATTACTTAGCTAGTTACTCCATTTGCGCTAACCCGGGAAGACAGCCAGCACGCTAACGGCGGCAGTTACGTTAGCTAGCTACTACTAACGCTAGCCATCGTAGCCACAATAGCGTTTTTAATTTTTCTAGCTACAAAACTTAAATAACCATTGTAACTGAACAATATCGTCGCGTAAATCACAGACGGTATCAATTTACCTTAATCCATCAGCAGACCGATCTTGCTCGATGTGGTAGATTTGGCATATTTATTGACAACGTCTGTAGCTACTGCGACGCAGTCTTCTTGTCGCCAGTGTGACATGAGCAGCATTAGCGATGAGCAACAACCGTGGAATGGCCTTCAAAATAAAAGTTTGACAAACGGATCCAAATATTGGAATCACGCCATAATTGGACTAGGGCTGTTCAATGTCGGAACTGGAGGGCCGTGACTAGGGCTGTTCGATGTCGGTACTGGAGGGCCGTGACTAGGGCTGTTCGATGTCGGTACTGGAGGGCCGTGACTAGGGCTGTTCGATGTCGGTACTGGAGGGCCGTGACTAGGGCTGTTCGATGTCGGTACTGGAGGGCCGAAACACTTCTGGTTCTGGTTCTTCTTCTTGTAAGTGACTAATTCAGACCTGGGAACACCAGGTGAGGGCTATTAACTACCAGGTAGAAACAAAAACCAGAAGTGTTTAGGCCCTCCAGGACCAACATTGAACAGCCCATGACTAGATCAGGGTTTCACGAACTCGGTCCTGGGGCCCACCTTGGGTGCACGCTACCCTAGCACTACACAGCTGATTCAAAGAATCAACTCATCATCAAACTTTGATTATTTGAATCGGCTGTGTAGTGCTAGGGCAAAAAACTGTTAGGGATACCCTGGACTAGATAATGCTAAACAAGGTTGGAATGTTGTTTCATAAAATCAACAAAATACAATATTAATTTGACATAAACAGTAAACAGTAAAAATCCTAACCAGAGGTTTTACTGAGTAGAATAGACCCCACTTTTACTGGGACATAATGTACAGAAAATGGTATACAGTGCAATATGTCTGTACTACACACATATCAGAGTCAGAATCTGACCGATTGTCAAAGTTAAACAATAAGAGCTACGACGATGTTATGTGTGTGTGTATATGTATAAATGCTGCTGAGGGGAGAACGGCTCATAATAATGGAATAGCATCAAACAAAAACAAAATGGAGCAAATGGAATGGCATCAAACACCTGGAAACCATGTGTTTGATGTATTTGATACCATTCCACCGACTCCACTCCAGTCATTACCACGAGCCCGTTCTCCCCAATTAAGGTGCCACCAACCTCCTGTGGTTTTGTATATATATATATCTTCATAATTGTGTTCTGTGGGTGTTGCTGAGTAGGCTGATATCCAATTTCATGGACCAAAGATGTATAGGTAATCCTGTACAGTGCATATAAGTACTGTATGTCCCTATGCAATTATGCAGTCCAGTACATCCAGAGTGAGATTTCAACACATTTTCAATGTTTTTGTGTCAAATTAATTAATGATTATATTTTGTTGAATTTATGAAATAACTTTCCAACTTCGTTTAACATTATCTAGTCCAATTATGGCATGATTCCACTATTTGTGTCCTATGTAGCTCAGTTGGTAGAGCATGGAGCTTGCAACACTGCTAAACATAATATATTATAATTTATAAACTGGGTGGTTTGATCCCTGAATGCTGATTGGTTAGGTATATGAGAGGCACAGGAGGTTGGTGGCACCTTAATTGGGGAGGACGGGCTCGTGGTAATGACTGGAGTGGAATCAGTGGAATGGTATCAAATACATCAAACACATTATTTCCAAGTGTTTGATGCCATTCCATTTGCTCCGTTCCGGCCATTATTATGAGCCGTTCTCCCCTCAGCAGCCTCCACTGATGAGACGGTATACCACGGGTATGACAAAAAAATATTTTTACTGTTCAAATTACATTTGTAATCAGTTTATAATCGCAATGAGGCACCTCGGGGGTTTGTGGTATATGGCCAATATACCACAGCTAAGGGCTGTATCTAGGCACTCTGTGTTGCGTCGTGCTTAAGAACAGCCTTTCGCCATGGTATATTGGCCATATACCACACCCCCTCGAGCGTTATTGCTTAAATATATTACTATTTGTATCCGTATGTGGGACTTTAATTTTGAAGGCAAAATCGCTGATTCCACTATTGTTGCTCATCGCTAATGCTGCTCATTTCACTGGTCTCCTCGTGGATGATACTCGTCAACCCACCGGTCATGGCCAGATGGGCTACAACCCGATGACTTATATAAACCGTTTATTGCTGATGCTTAGGTATTGGTCTTTGAAGCCACCGGTCGGCCATATTGGCACTCCCTAGTAGGAGCAGTCCTCCATAGGAATTAATGGAATTCTGCAGTATTTCAATTAAATGTTTCAAGGACAAAATTATATGTATTTAAGTATTTTTGTTGTTGTAGTGGGGACAGTCACATTAGTACTCTCTAAAAAAAAAAAAACGTTAAGGATTTGTTTCTGTATTTAGCTCACATAATATAATTTAGAATTATGCATTAAAGTGTCTGTAATAGAATAAACGTGTCAAAAACGAATGTAGACATTAATAAATGCATTTCTATTGCTTCCAAAATATGTTTTACAATTGAGGAGGAGTGCCAAGATGGCTGCGCGGTGGCTGCCTGGTCACATCACGGACCATAGCCTAGTGGTCCTCGGTTCAGCCAAATCGAACTCGTCCATTTGTCCTGCTATAATGATCAGACAGAGATCAATAAAACAAAGATATCATATGCTTGCTTTGCTTGAGTTTCCATTTGATTTCAGCTATCATTCAAATGCGAAAGCAGGAAATACTAAATAAAGATTAAATGAAGACATGCTTTACTTGGGCCACTCAATATATTACTGATAGGTATTACTGATCAGTATCGCTCAAATGTTGCCCAATGGGTATATCAAATGTCCTAGTGAATAGCTATGAGGCAGTTATTTATTTACAGTCCCACTAATAAAAGTGTGCCTGTCTCTGCCTGAAGGAGAGAGGGATCAGGTGCTTCAGCTATAACCTATCTACAGCCTATGGGCTCAAGTGTCTGTTTACTCTGATTATTACAGGATCACCAAAACAAGCATCTCATGTTCACTAAAATGTCCTGTACTGTGCTACCTGTTGTTATGTTTGTCCATTTAGATTGTAAGTGGGTAAATGACTGTACAGCACTATGTCATGTCAGAAAAATAATGTACCAGTACCAGCCATATGAGTTCATATAATGATTGTTTAAGTAAAACATTCAGCATGTTTTCTAAATTGAGTGTAGCCTAAGGATGTTATGGAAACTTGTCTTGACTTGCCTAGTGTAGTGCATTAGCATTTCAGCTCCTGCATTGCTGGAATACAAAACAGCTATTTATGGTTCAAAGTCAAAATACAGTACATGACCAAAAGTATGTGGACACCTGCTCATCGAACATCTAATTCCAAATTCATGGGCATTAACATGGAGTTGGTCCCCCCCTGCAGCAATATTCCAACATCTAGTGGAAGGCTTTCCACTAGATGTTGGAATATTGCTGCAGGGACTTGCTTCCATTCAGCCACAAGAGCATTAGTGAGGTCGGGCACTGATGTTGGGCAATTAGGCCTGGCTTGCAGTCGGCGTTCCTATTTATCCCAAAGGTGTTCGATGGGGTTAAGGTTAGGGCTCTGTGCAGGCCAGTCAAGTTCTTCCACACCGATCTCGACAAACCATTTCTGTATGGACCTCACTTTGTGCACGGGGGCAGTGTCATTCTGAAACAGGAAAGGGCCTTCCCCAAACTGTCGCCACAAAGTTGGAAGCACAGAATCGTCTAGAATGTAATTGTATACTGTTGCGTTAAGATTTCCCTTCACTGGAACTAAGGGGCCTAGCCCGAACCATGAAAAACAGCCCCAGACCATTATTCCTCCTCCACCAAACATTACAGTTGGTACTATGCATTGGGGCAGGTAGCGTTCTCCTGGCATCTGCAAACCCAGATTAGTCATTCGGACTGCCAGATGGTGAAGCGTGATTCATCACTCCAGAGAACGCGTTTCCACTGCTCCAGAGTCCAATGGCGGCAAGCTTTACACCACTCCAGCCGACACTTGGCATTGCTCATGGGGATCTTAGGCTTGTGTGCAGCTGCTCGGCCATAGAAACCCATTTCATGAAGATCCCTACAAACCATTCTTGTGCTGACGTTGCTTCCAGAGGCAGTTTGGAACTTTGAGTGAGTGTTGCAACCGAGGACAGACTATTATTACGCGTTACGCGCTTCAGTACTCGATGGTCCCCTACCACTTCACTGTTGAGCCGTGCTCCTAGATGTTTCCACTTCACAATAACAGCACTTACAGTTGACCGGGTCAGCTCTGGTAGGGCAGAAATTTGACGAACTGACTTGTTGGAATGGTGGCATCCTGTGACAGTGCCATGTTGAAAGTCATGAGCTCTTCAGTAAGGTCATTCTACTGCCAATGTTTGTCTATGGAGATTGCATGGCGGTGTGCTCGATTTTATACACCTGTCAGCAACGGGTGTCGTTGAAATAGTATAATCCACTAAATTGAAGGGGTGTCCACATACTTTAGTATATATAGTGGATATGAATATACTGATATGTATAGACCTACTGCATAGTTCAGCACACCTGCTAACCATCAATCAATTGCCTGTGTTTCTGACCTCGTAAGGTCTCTTTCTGTTTATGAGGTTGAACAAGGATCTTGGCCTACAGCGACACATGGACAGGCAGAAAATGACTGCAGACAATGACCTTCTAGAGTTACATAACCCTTGACCCTATTTCTCAACAGAAGCCAAGAGAAAGACTCAACCTAAAAACCACAGTGGACTACGGCATCATGTGTCATAGGCCTACTGGGGTTCCTACTTACACACTATAGAAAGGTTTGGGGTCATACGCACATCCTTAAAAACGTAGGTGCTGGGTTAATAAAAATTAAATTCACTTTTGCTCATAGTCAATCATACTTAATCACAGAGGTAAATATGGTCATAAAGGATTACAGTGCATTCGGAAAGTATTCAGACCCCTTCCCTATTTCCACATTTTGTTACGTTACATCCTTATTCTAAAATGGATTCAATTAAATGTTTTCCTCATCAATGTACACACAATACCCCATAAAGACAAAGCAAAAGCAGGGTTTTTGAAATTGTAGCAAATGTATAAAAAAACAAAACAGAAATAGTATTCAGACCCTTTGCTATGAGACTTGAAATTGAGCTCAGG